ATTTAATCCCCAGAAGTCACAAGTTTGCGCGTTAACCGCTAAAAAGCCCTTTGTCGTGTCTCTTCAGTTTGATGGCACTCCCCATGATGCCTTAGCTAGTATAGAATCAGAATCCTCGGCGTCGACATATCGAATAGTGTGTAGTTTTGTGGTCACTTGGAGGGGAAGGCCAAATTGGCCTCTAAAAAGCTTGGCGTGCTCAGCGAACGAGACAGTATTTCATGCCGGCACATCGCTTGCAACTTTACAAAGTGCAAGTTCAGCTTCACATGGAATACTGTTCTCATCTCTGGGCCGGGGTACACTTGTGCCAGCTACTTCCACTTGACCGCATCTGATCGAGTTCTTTCTGATAGGCTCGATTCACTGGCGCTGCGTAGAAATGTTGCATCCCTTTGCGTTTTGTATCGTATACCCTGGGGAGTGTTCTGAGGAATTGTTCGGATCCTCAAAATTCCAGAGACCATCTTCACCATCTGGATGCTTGGCGGTCCACTACTGTACGTTTACTAGGAGTTGTCTTCCTCGTACAACTTCTCTGTGGAATTGTTTACCACAAGCGATTTTTCGGGATCGATTCAACTTAGGAACCTTCAAGAAAAGAGCTTACTCCATACTAAAAAACTGCCAACGCATGGGCAATTCCCCTGGTATTGCGGTTGTTCATGGGCGGGGGTAGTCACATACCATCAGGTGAGCCGCATGCTCGTTTGCCCCTCTTCTATAAAAAAATTAGTTGACCCTGCAGGCCATCCCTGAAACTTCCCGCTAATTTCAAATGCAAGGCGCTACAAATTTTACCAAATTATGTTGCGAAATCTCGAAGTTATGTTAAAAAAAACGTTATTTTCAAATTCTTTCTCCTTCGATATCTCAACCGAATCAACCTATTTTTATTTTTCAAACGGCACTCGACGTCATTTTTGAGGTTAAGAGCTGATTAGTTTTTGAAAGCGATCGGTAGAACCGTTTAAAAGTTATTTCAAAAATTTTATTTTTGAGATTTTTTGAAAATCAAGGGAAATATCATGAAGAAACCTGCATGTCTGAGAAATAAAACGTTGGTTGACCCTGCAGGCAGTCTGTCCGAAGAGTACAATCTGCCACTTTGCCTGGCGTATGTGGACTATGAGAAAGCCTTTGATTCCGTCGAAATTTGGGCGGTGCTACATTATCTTCAGCGGTGCCAAATTGACTGTCGGTATATCGAAGTCCTGAAGTGTTTGTACAGTAGGGGTACGATGGCTATCCGAGTACAGAACCAGAGTACGAAACCTGCCCAACTGCAGAGAGGTGTAAGACCGGGTGACGTTATATCCCCGAAACTCTTCACCGCTGCATTTTAAGACGTTTTCAAGCTACTGGACTGGAAAGGATACGGTATTAACATCAATGGCAAGTACATCACTCACCTTCGATTTGCCGACAATATAGTCCTTATGGCAGAATTGCTGAAAACCTAAGCAATATGCTCAATGACCTCAATAGCGCTTCCCAAGGGATAGGTCTTAAGATGAACATGCATAAAACAAAAATCATGTTTAATGTCCATGTCACACCTTGCCCGTAGTTGTTGGGAGCACTAAGCTCGAAGTTGTAGACGAGTACGTTTATCTGGGACAAATAATTCGATTGGGTAAGTCCAACTTTGACCAAGAGGTCAATCGGCGGTTCAACTCGGCTGGGCAACCTTCGGTAAATTACGACACATCTTCTCCTCAGGTATACCTCAAAACCTGAAAACTAAATTGTACAACCAGTGCGTGTTACTAGTAATGACCTATGCAACTGAGACGTGGTCCTTCACTGCTGGCCGTATGAGGACGCTCAAAGTCGCTCAGCGAGCTATGGAGAAGGCTATGGTCGGGGTTTCTCTGCGTGATAAACTTAGAAATGGTTGTGAAAAAAGAAACTTCGTTGGGAAAAAAGTTTTCAAGTGGCAGCCTCGTACTGGTAGGCGAAGTGTGGGAGGGACACCCTACTAGATGGAGCGACGACCTGGTAAGACATGCTGGTCGATGTCGATGGATGCAGGGGGCTCAGGACCGTGCTTTGTGGCTACCTTGGGGGAGGCCGATGTTCAGCAGTGGACTTGTAAAGGGCTGTAATGATGATGATGTTTATGATTCTGTGAGAGCGTGGTCCTTCCCCAGTCGAGCCGACCCATTCATGCTACAACCATAATAGCTGCAGCGTGGCTCTACCACGTAAGCTATATATTTTTATTTTTATTGAATAAATAAATAGAAATTTGTATTTTATTATGTTCTTTTGTATCTTAAGGTTCGTGACAATAAAAACTGCGAATTAAATTACCAAAATTTACACTTTTATTAGAGAATACAAATTAAAACTTAAATCACACTTAACACTTTAGTTCACTTTATTTCGCTCCGAAGCTTTGCTCGTATCGCCCATTCAATATTGCCCCGATCGCGGCTTGCAAGGGCTTTAAATACGCCTTTTCCACAGAAACATCCACAATGTTCCAGCAAATACCGGTCGCGACCGACTAAGTGCAGAAAGTTCGAGAGTGGACTTTTCTAGAAAGCTTAATTCTTCCATTCGTTACTAGATGGCGCTGTGGTGGAAAGTTGAGGAATGACATTTTCTAGAAAGCCCTCCTCGCTCTGTTCCCTAACACTAGATGGCGCTAGTGCCAGGTACCAGATATCAACTTAGTCACGCAACAATACATTACTATGATATTTACCTTTGTAAACTTTCATTTATTACTTTTAGTATTGTACAATTACCATTGCTGCTTTTGATCTACCGTAATACGCGACGCACGTGACGTTGACAAATTCGCCAAGCATTGTAATGTTAAACATAAGATATCATTGTGCATTGCTTATGTTTATTATACGGCTGCAGCCACCGGTCGTTTTAGGAGTATGTGTTAAGATGTGGCGACATCGGTTTTGGAAGTAATCAAGCACTAATTCATTTCTATTGTCTTATTATTACTATTGCTGTGGTTTTAACTAATTTACATCTAGATGAATACTTTACTATGATATTTACCTTTGTAAACTTTCATTTATTACTTTTCGTATTTACAATTACCATTGCTGCTTTTATTCTACCGCAATACGCGACGCACGCGACGTTGACAAACCCGCCCAGCAATGTAATGTGAAACATTAGATATCATTGTGCATTGCGTATGTTTATGATATGGCTGCAGCCATCGGTCGTTTAAGGAGTATGTGTTAAGATGTGGCGACATCGGTTTTGGAAGTAATCGAACGCTAATTTATTTCCATTGTCTTATTATTCTATCGTCTTATTATTCTAGTGTCTTATTATTAAGTCGTCCCAAATCGGTGTAAAATGCCTCACCGATTTTACAATTATTAATAGCAACGTGTAATTGATATACAGAAAAAACAGCGTGAGTGATAGCACGACGCCTTGTGGAACACTAGTATTAAATAGTTATGCACCGTCTACTACGACTTTGATGCCTCGATCTGCAAGAAAACTGATGATGAAATTGTAAAATTTCTCGAGCATAGGAAGGAAGCTTCTATAGAAGAGCTTTATGGCAAAGACTATCGATATCGAAGGCCTTCACTGTATCCAAAGTAACGGCTAAGGACTTTACTGGACTTTCTTGGGCTTTACTACTTTCTCTCATCTGAGTCAGGTAAATTATAAAATAGAACTGGAACCAGCTAATTAGTTAGTGAGAAGTTAATCAGCTGGCTAAGGTAGGTGCCTACATTATGAGCTGGCAGTTTATAATGAATTCCATTATTTTGGAGAACAAGGATGCGGTGGCAATAAGCAGTGAACAGGCGTGTAGGGTCGCTTTTTTAAGGATCGAGTGCACTAAAGCCGTCTACCATAAGTTCAGGATTATGCCTTAGGAGTAGGAATACCGGAAAACGGACGTATAGGAACCGATGTTAATTCCGGGGCACCCGTCCTCAGCTCCTATAGGCGGGACTCCATCCGGCCCACTCGACTTGTTGACGTCTCAGGGAGAGAAGTGCTTTGCACACTAAGCGCTATGTAAACCGTACATCCAGCATGGAACATTCACCTCGGGGTGATCGGCAGTGTATGTACCTCCCGTCATCTAGAGTCGAGCCGGACTCAAAAAACGAATATAAAGATCTAAAAAGATCGACTTTCTCCTCCTCGAATCCTGCGCCCTAGGCTCCAACTACGTTAGTACTCTTATTAGTTTGTGGCTCCAACCTTGTTAGTCTGTGGGTAAATCAGACCCTGTAGACAGTAGTAAAGAGATCAAAGATGACCACCTGACATTTCTATAACCATGCATGAATTATATGCAACATCTTCCAATGGATTTGTCTCTTTTTGCCTTATTTGAAAATTAAATTAAAAAAGTGAGACAATATATATTGACTCATTTTATGTACGATTGGTACGGATGCGTAGTATCCTATTCTCTTAGTAGTCTGTGACTCTGTGATATTCTTAGAGCATACATTACATGGAGGAGCATGTGGAGGTGGGCGGTTGGTGGTTTCTCGAGGCTCATTGGGCATGCGCTAAGTGAGATTTAATTACAGCATCAGAAGATGTGGAGAGAGACAGACTCTACTAAAAGAGAGCTTTCTCCTATGTAATGTATATGCTCTAAGGTGATATTGATATACGGGGCCCAGAAAGGCTAGAACCTAGAGTCGCAAAGGCAGTTATAATAAAAGTGAAAGTTAAAAAAAGAAGAAAGTGAGTTGTAATAAATGTCAAACGGGAAATTTAGTAATCTATGGGCACAAATTATAAAGTTGTATGTACAAGAATCTATGGGGAAATTTGACGTTTTGCGATTGTACGTCAAAAATCATCAAAAATTTAGTATTTTTTAATTCTAGTTCTAGTAACAATAGAAAATAGGTGCGCGATTTTTGGATTATCACAATAACTCTTCTTATAATATATATAATACCGAAAACAAAATATGTAAATGTGATTAGGATTTGAGAGACTGTTAATTTTATAACAACAAACAAACCTTTTAGAGTTCCAACGATGGCTAAATCTGCTCAAGATTTTATTCAAAACTCTTTTTCGCCAATTATCGCGGTGTTGTGTAGTCCAAAAGTAAATAATGTTGTATCTAAAAATAATTTGACATTTTCTGAACTACTACAACCGTTTGCATTAATGGATTGGGAAGGTATGATGTTGTGGTGTTTATTTTAATATATCTTTTTATTTCTTTAAAAAATATTTAGCTGAATCCCTCTGCCACACTCACCCCTTCCCCCTCTCTTTGGAAATACTTATGTTTTTATAAATTTTAGAAAATTTTCTACCATTACCTATAGAGTCCATTGTTGAACTGCTGAACATAAACACAGGCCTTCTCTATAGAATTGCTCATATGGGTAATATCTGCCACAGTTGCAACGCTTGGCAAGCGGGATGGCAACTGCAGTTTTTTTTTATTTTTAGTTGCTATTAGGAATATGCTGCTGCCCATTGCCTAATTTGTTTCCTCTGTCACCTCTTACGAAATCCACGGGATGATATGGGGAAGTCAAATTGATAAAATATTGTATATTTAAGTTACAATTTGGAGTATTTAAGTAATTTTTTAAGGAGAGTAGGAGGAGGAGGAAAACCCCCTGCTCTATACTTTACTCAAAAATGCATGTTTTTTATTGAAATTACTGTCAAAACCAGTTTTGAGAAAATCTACAATCTAAAATACTTTATTAGTGGCCAAAACCAGCAAAAACAAAAAAAGCGACAGTAGCCTAACAGCAGGGCTCGGACCGCGAACTCAAAAAGGTTGTGGGTTTGAATCCGCCATTCAACTACTGGTGTGAGCCACTCGTAACACAAGCAATTTAAGCTTACCATGAGTGGTTAAGGGGAATATTAGTTTTATTATTAATATTGATTAATAATAATTATTAATTAATGTTTATAGTATTGTTAATATTCTTTTTTTTATCCAATTTTAGAACAAAGTTGTTTTTTCCAAGCTAACCTAGAGCTTGGCCATAAACATTAAAAGTGATATTTATTTTTATTAGATACTGCTCAAAAGTGATTTATATTACTTCTGGGTTATGATAACCGACTACTTTGAACCAAAATATTTCAGTCAAAATCTCTTATTACCTATATTTTTTTAAGTCAAAACTACTTTCGTCTAAACTTCTTTAATCAAGATTTTGACTGTTTGTGTTAGTCTAAATTAGTTTTAACCGGGATTTAACTACATGGCAATTAATCATATTTAAAAAATATTTGAATATTTTAAAAGTTAACTATGTAAAATATAAAAAAAACATACAAAATGTATGTTTAACAAACCTTATTAATATAACATTTAATTTACAAATATATTTATTTAGATTAGAATAAAATTTATTCATAAATGCTAGGTATGTGAGAGTTATAAATGGTTGAATTTATTCCACTTTTCCCTGTTTTCATGACTTGGATGTGAAAAGCTAAAAATAAAATAAAAGAATAATCAGCAAACTTAAACAGGAAATTCAGCAAAATTATGAATACTTCTATTTGTTTCTAGAAAATGATTGTGCATTACATAATCATCCTACACTTACCCACAGAAACATTGCATCTGATCAAATTATTTTCATAATCTATATTCCGTGACACGAGATGTCATCTTAGGAATAATTTGTTAAGTATCTTACTCACCAAAGAAAAATTATACCTCGGTATTTTCTAACATTTCATAAAAAATGCACCATGGCATATTTTACCAAGAGATTTTTTATAGATAATCATCACAGCATGTGTCAACTCACTACCACCTAGAAAGTGACTGAGTAAACATCGGCGCAATTGAATGGGACAGTGTAACTAACTGCAGTGTTACCTCTAGAAATTAGTACATAATAGCTCAATGAACACAACTGACCCTTTTTACTGTAAAAGAGGCATTCCGTCTTAATCCTCTGGGGTGATAATCACATTGTATTTTTATTCTTTTGACACATAGTCTATGGGCTACAGTATCTACTTGACATCAAGTGATCTGTGTGCTTGTTTGACATCCTTCTATGAAAGAAAAGTATGTTAGGTCCTTATAGCTTTTGGAAGACCCAAGACTGTCATCAATAATGAAAATTATTCATACATTGTTATTCTCCTGATTGTTATAATATTTTTAAAATTATGAAATAGGATATAAATCGTATTTCTCAAAACATCATGTCAGTTATTAATAACCTTATCAATTTAGTTTACTTGACTTATAGGTCAATTCCGAGAGCCTGGAGGAAGCACTTGTACTATTAAAAATTGGAAATTAATAATAAGAGATGTAAATTGGAAACCTGTCCAACCTACTGAAGCTAGAAGACAATTAAATAATGCAGTGTTACATAATTATGATGAAAAAACCGTTACTTTGGAGTTTGGTATGGCTTCATATAATTTACTAAAATTAAATAAATTAGCAGTGTGTATGTTTTTTACAATTTTATCATACATTTGCAAAAAACAATACAAGCAATGCTGTTAATACTATGGATACTTCCATTAAGCACTCTATGTTAGAAAGTGTTTGTGGTGGGAATGGTTCATGGTATTAGCTGAATAGTAAAGATGCATGCAAAAAATCCAGGCCAGCAAAATTTTTACATACTTATTTGTTGTTTTAACCATAAATAACTCTGCAAAATTATACAGTGATTAGTTGGCTATGTCTACTTGAAAATGTATTTGTACTGTTTATATGAAAATAACATGAAATCTTTTTTTATCTCGCGTAAATCAATCACCTTTGATATTAAATCTTACAAAAATCACAATTTCTTTTCTTTGTTTTTTTGTACTTTAGTCTAATTTAAATAAGACTTAAAGAGTGACAACTGAGAAATGTAAAAAATGATGTTTTGAATAATGTTTTTTGATTGCTGTACTAAAAATAATATCTAATAGACTGCCATTCTGTTCTAGTGGAGGATGGAAAACTATTAACCATTATAATTACAACCTAGCAAAGTTCACTACTGAACATAGACCTATATATGAGAATATATACCATAGATTTACTCATAAAATAATATTTTAAAATTAAGTAGTGGCACCTGTAGCAAATATCCCCCATTTGCTATAGTTGCCACTCTACTTTGTTTTGAATTTATTTTAGTTTTTTTTCTGAGGAGTATTGTTTTCCTTACAGTAATTTTCTTACTGTTGAGCATGTGTTGAAAATGTAATTAACACACATTCAATGACTCGGCATGTGTGTGTCTCAGGTATTATGAATTTAACTAGAATGTAAGTATATAAAACTTTTCGGATTGAGACAGTGACCCTGAAATTATTTGGGGTATTCCGTTTATCCACCCTAAGAAATCCACCCTAGGGTGGATAGTTGGAAACGCGTGTTTGTCTATCCACCCTAGACGGGGTGGTTAATCGGAATTCACTTTTTGATAGTTGTTCCCAAGTCCCCAGGTACAGTTCGACAAAAAATATATTCATACTTTAACATATTATTCTGATTAATTTTTAATAACCACAACTTACTTAAACAAAAATCATATTACATATTGCATTTAAATCAAATTAAACTTCCTAGTTTTAAATAATAATATGCAATTCATACATTCTGCAATATGTACAGGAAATGACCTCTCAATAAAAGGTATTTTAAAATTTGCTTAGTACCATACTATTACCAATACTGTATTTATATTGTATATTTATTTAATTTAAATACCTACTTTAATAAAATATAATTGAAATTAATTGCAGTAAAACATTTCTTTCATTATAAGATATCTCTAAAATGACATAAATTATGTCACATTGAATGATTGAACAATTAAAAGTATTTCAGTTTTGACCTTCATACTAATGTATGTATTTTTATGTAATGTCTACTAAGTAATATTGGGCCAGTTTCTATAGTGTTTTTATAAACGACTGTACACAGGGAGGAAAAATAATATATGAATTCCAATTATCCACCCCGGGTTTTTAGGGTGGACAAACGGAATAACTCAGTCATTTTAGACTTTATTGCATTTAAATTGTGACTTTTAAAAATGGAATGAAAATATTTAAATAACTTTTAAAGAATAATATGCTGATAAAAGATCCAAGCAGCACTATACAAAACCTGAGCACATATTTTTAACAAGTAACCATATATCTTAAAAATAGGTAGTGACTTAAAAATTTTTACTTTATGGTTACAGATGGACGTAAGTTTGATGTTCCACAACTTACACCCTGGTTTGATGCTTGGAGAGAGACTTATCTTGAAGTGCAATTTCCTTCTGACCACGAATATACTAAACACTTTTTGTCCTGTATAATTGTGGCCACAACACTGGATGAAAATATTGTAGACACATATAATTTATTGAATCAACAATATGCACAATTACAAAATGTTGCCCCTCCTAAATTACCCAAATGGTTTAATAATGGTGTTTTAAAATCTTATCTCCTCTTACATGATGTATCATGTGTGTCTAAGGAAAAGTATGTATTAAGTTGGATTCTGAACTTGTTGTCCTTTCTCTAAAACTAAGTCTAAAACTAAAAAATTTATTGGTTTTCAGGGCAGATACATTATTTGATACAATGAAACAAACTTTTGGCATAGGAAACTGTTTCATGTTGACAATAAATTCAAAAACTTCAACGGATCCAAAGTTACTTACTGATTTTTGGGCTCCATTTGTTACAAGAACTCCTGATTCTAATGTAATGAAATTATAATTTTTGTTAATCATATATTTCTGCACACAAACATGATTTTTAATATATGTTTATTTTTTAGAGTGAAATGTCATCACCAACGAATACAACTGCTACATTTAATGAACCTCAAGTTGCTCCCACACCCATTAATGTTGTGACACCTGGTAAGGTTTTTGTATTTGGTTTGCTATAGTTTATGTGGTATCTGATATTACAAAATAATCATTTATATAATGTGATATTGTTATATGAAAACAAGCTAATCCTAATTTTAAATTTCATATTGAACTATAGACTTTGTAGGACTATTTTAAAACATACATACATATGTAAAAATTAGCAGCCTATATACCAGGCGGTCCCATAATGAACTGGCCTGATATAGTTCAACGCGACATGTCGCTACATGTTGTGTTGCATAAAAAGTATTTATCATGCACTTAATATAAGAAACTCAGACATAAAATGCTAGTTAGTTTAACAGGCATTTGTACGAGTTAAATGTAAGAGAGTTTAAGTTTTTTTAAAGAATTTGCCAAAAAGAAGTGAAAAATTGGGTGAAAGAGTTTCGCCTTGGGGGAGAAACCGTCGAAGACTTTGGCCACGACGGTCGACCTGTGGAAGTGCTCACTCCCGAAACGATTGCTCTTATCGAAGAGGAGGTTCTGAGTGACCGCCGTTTGAAGATTAGAGAAATTGCAGCAAGGCTTGGGCTCTCTAAGAGTACCGTTCATCGCGCGATCCATGAACATCTTCACATGAAAAAAGTGAGTGCAAGATGGGTACCGAAACTTCTTTCAGCGGTACAGAGACAGGAAAGAGTGCGCTGCGCTTCGGAGTTTTTGGATCTTTGTGGCGAAAATCCAAAGACTGTGATCGAGCGGCTAGTGACTGGTGATGAAACTATGATCTTGTATTATGATCCACAAAGGAAGCGCGAGTCAATGGAATGGCGTTATAAGGGTGAAAAGCCCCCTAGAAAGGCAAAGGTGCAACAATCTACTAAAAAACTAATGTACACAATATTTTGGGATTTTCAAGGCATTTTGATTGATTTTAAAGAATGTAATACAGTCGTGAACGGCGAATATTATGCTTCTTTAATATATAAATTACGAGACAAGATAAAGGAAAAACGAGGAGGCAAGCTGTCTAAAGGTGTCCTGTTGCTCCATGACAACGCCCCTGTTCATACCGCTGGTGTTTCGAAGGATGCAGTTCGTCAATGCGGGTTCACAGAAGTTCAACATCCACCTTACAGTCCAGACATGGCCCCGTCCGACTATTATTTATTTCCAAATTTAAAGCGGGACTTAAGAGGAAGAAAATTTTCAAGCGATGAAGAGTTGCAGGCGGCCGTCTTCAGTCATTTTGAGGATAAAAAATGTGATTATTTTTATAAAGGTTTAGAGATGTTGATTCACAGATGTCAGAAGTGTGTTAGTATTCATGGTGATTATATTGAAAAATAAAATTGGTTTCGTTTCATTTCCTTCATTGGTTCATAGTTAGGCCAATTCATTATGGGACCGCCTACGTAGCTGGGCATGGGCTGTTTTATTATTAAGATTAAGATAACAGGTTAATGGCAAATGGAGTGGGAACAATCTTCTGATCTTTTACAGTGCATGAAGCAAGACTTAAAAATATTATTTATATTTTGATAACGCATTTTCGTCACAAAATTCTTGGTTATGGATTCATAAGTTGATTGGGTTTATGCATACCTACTATAAATAATAAATATAAATAAAGCTAAATGAATTTACTGAAAATAGAGCATTCGTATTTTTATTGCAGAAGAAAGACCTAACATCATGATAACATCAACCCAAGATGGTGTACACCCACTAACAACTTCTGACAATGATGTTTATGATAATGCTAATAGTTTACAGGTAACAATGTCATTTGTAATAGTATTAAAGAAATAAGTGATAAAATATGGACGTTATTAATACATGAAGGGAAAACTTTTTAAGCATATTACACACATGGAGGAGTAATCCTATCTTTCATTAACATCGGTTCACAATGGGGTTGGCCGGTGAAAACTTTTCCTAGAGGGCGCCAGCATAGCTTTCACCTGTCAAAGTCGCGTGCTTGGTTTGTGTTTATCTCAATTACTTTAATAAGTTTAATTACTAAAGGAAAAGGATTATAATTTATTACATTATGTATTCGACATGGCGGGTATGTGAATTAAAAGCTGAACTAAAGAAGCGAGGTGCGTCTTTACGGGGAAGGAAAGCAGATCTAGTGGAAAGGTAATAAATTATATCTTCTTTCTTTAAAATATCTTCTCATTTTATCTTTGAATACATAACATTACTCATTTACTTTACTTTAACACGTTTATCTGAAGTTATACCATTTACCCCTTTAAAAAGAAGTACGATCTTATCTTAAAGATTCTTTATATACTTACTTAATACTGACGTTTAAAGATGGTATATTGTTTTTTCTCAGATTAGAGTTATATGACCAAAATTTTAATTTTGGGAACATTGAGAATCAGGAGGAAGAAGATCTTAAAATGAACCTTCCAGAGTCCAACACATATCGAGATATAAATAGCTGCACTTTCTTACCACCTCTAACAAAAATGCATATTAGGAATTATTTTTGCTGGTATGTTTGTTCTTCATAATAATGATATAAAATTACTCAAAATACATAATATATAAGTTAATTAAATATCTTTTATATTTTATTCTCATTTGGGGTATCTTTTTTTTTTTTTTTTTTTTTTCTCCTCATTAGAAGTTTGTTTTGGTTTTTGTTAACAATAAGGTTGGCGTGCAGGTTGTTAGTCACTATAATAAAAAAATGATTATAGGTTTGAGATGCAATTATATGTTATAATATTTTATTTGTTACAGTGCTGATAAGAAACTTGATAAGGCTAAATCCTTATATGAGTCTCGATACCTCATCCTTGCAAGAGCTTCAACTGTTGGTGACTCTACTTTTGTAAAAGGCTATTGCAAAAAGACTATGAGAGACAGTATGAAGTAGATGTTAACATTCATACAAATTCAACACCTCAGGAATCCCACTGTGAGTGTCCAGCTGGAAGTGGCATAGAGGCAAAGTGCAAGCATGTTGCTGTGCTTTTAACTGCAATTGAACACATGGTGCGTCACAAAATTATATTACTGCGTCAAGTTAGCACACAAAGGTTGCAGACATTTCATATGCCCAAAACTCCATTTACAGCATCTCCTATAGCTGCACACAAGTTACCTAAGAAAAAAAATAGTAAAAGGTTTAGTCCGTACCCTATTCACATGATTGACAAAGAGAGTTACAACAATAAAATTTGTAATATAATTTTAAATTATCCAAATTCTACAAAGCCTCTTAAACATTTATATGAACCAGCAAATCCCTATGCTATTATAGCAGATCATGCCTACACATCTTCCAACCCTGAAGATAAAATTTTAGAAAAACTATGTTTATTAAATGTTAATGAAGAATCTATAAAAATATTGAGAAAATTACAAGAGGACAAAAAAACAATTCAATGTGGTATGAAGAAAGAAAACACATAAGAAACACAGAATAACTGCCAGCAATTTTCATACAGTTTGCCATTTTAAAGCCTCTTCAAAACTTAGTTACTGCAAACAACTTTTTAGTAAAAAAACCCTTTTCATCTAGGCCAACAACACATGGAATCTTGAATGAACCAAATGCCCTAAATGAGTATCAGTCTAAGTTTGAATTAAATATTGAACCTTGTGGGTTATTTATTAGCAAGCAGAGACCATATTTGGGTGCTACACCGGATGGTCTACTGGGAAATGATACCATTATAGAAATAAAGTGTCCATTTTCCACAAGAAACAATATCATTACTCCAGCAACCGTGCCCTATCTGGTAAATGACCCTTTAAATAAAAAGATGCTATTAAAAAAAACTAGTCCAATCTATTATCAAATCCAGGGTCAGTTGTATTGCACAAATAGGATTTACTGTAATTTAATTATTTATACATATAAAGACATGAAAGTTGTTTATATTACTAGAGATGATCATTTTATTTCAGAGATGATAGAAAAGTTGGATGACTTTTATAATAATTACTTTAAAAGCATAATTTTAAATAACTATTTATATAATAATTATGATTTAATAAAAAAACAAAATTGAATGTTTTCAATTTTGTTTGTTATTAAATCTATTATTTTTATTTTTATATAATATAATATAAGTAAAAAAGTAATGAAAAAAGCTAAAAATTGGCCTTCAATAAGAAATATATAAATATTCTATTCTATTCTTTCTATTTATTGTACATTTTTATACACTAAATGATTTTTGTAAAATAAATTAAGTCTTGTTAAAAGAAAGAGGGTGAAGTTTGTAATAATAGCAAGACGTAACCATTTCATATTTTTTTATGTGTTATTGGTATTTCTCAGAACTATAATAAGGAAGGTTCTTTTTTATTTACATGATATAAGACTTGATTTTTTTTTTCAATAGATTAGGGACAGCGGCTGGGTTCTTGAGCACTGATTAACAAACCTATCTTCGCTTTCTAAACATCACTGAACAACAGTTTTGACTATATTGATAATTTAACTATCAAGGAATAAAGAAAAAGAGTGACTATATCTGTGTATTTTTATTTACAATATTTTCCTTAAAATTACATAACATAAAACAAATGAAAAATATTTCTGATACCAAAGTAACATAGAACGAGACAAGTGGTGTCTGTAGTATTTTATAGGTTTTTGTAAGGCCTATAGCCTTTCTATGTGTACCCTTTGACTTGCAAGTCTTTGATCATTTTTTAATACTGCAACTGGTAACTGTGATTTACCTCTCAAGAAAGTAGGTATGTTGACTGCAATATTTTTTGAGCAAACAAGTCTTGCACATTAAACCCTCTATCTGCCATTATATTGTCCCCATCATCACACAAATTTAACAATGATCTACGTTCAATCATTTGCCGGTCACTGGTTGCTCCCCCATAACCTTCAGAACAATAAGACAGGAGACCGCCTGGTGTAGAGCCCACCAAAAACTTTATAGTGTTGGTATTTTTATAAGTGCTGTAAGTGGCTTTCTGGGATGTAGGATTGCTAGGTTTAGCAATAGGCACTTCTGTTGCATCAATAATTATTCTTGTTTTGCTACTTTCATCTTTAAATATTTGAGGCATATAGTAATGTACTAAATCACGTCGAGGCCAAATATCAATCATTGACCATAATTTATGTACAAAGTGAATCCAAGTAACTATTATGTTTGAAACCTCGGTTTTGTTTATATTGAATATTTTAGCTATTTCGTAATCAGGTTTATTGAGTCTGAGTTAAAATTTAAGACTTCAGGTCTGGATATGGACGCAGAAGTGTGCGCCTGCTCAAAAAGCGCCTTTTTAATATTACGTGCTAATAATCGTTGCTCTCGAGCTTGACCTTCCTGCGAAATAGCTTTCGTAGTCCATGCAAACACTGATGGGACGGCAGATTTTTTCAAGTAACGATGCTGATGTTCATTACCTGAAAATAATCAAAATTGTTGAGGAAATGTACTTATGTGTGGTGCAAGGTATTTTAAAACAATATCAAAGGATATACCTGTATAAATACTGGTTTTTTGATAATCAGTCTCTAAAAAATGATTACGACATAACCTCGAATTTTTTTCAGGCTTAAAATTTATTCTTCTTATAGCTTTAAGCCACATTTTCTTACCTCTTCGTTTTTAGGGAATTGATGTGCACCAATTTCTTTGCAATAAGGTACTTCACACATCTTTGGCATTGTGAAAATAGTAATTATTCAAAATATCTCATACAACTTTTTTTTTGGTTAAAGCTATGCTAGCGCCACTTTGACAGTTGCCAACCCCATTGGCGAAGGTTCGTCGTCGTAATTTATGAACCAATTTTATTGATTATTTTTTAAAGATTGTTAAAAAATTTATTGAGTCTCACCGTGTCCATGTTTTAGATGATTGAAGAAATTTTTTTTGATGAACTATTTTAAAAGCAAAATTAAACTACTTATATAATCAAACATGTACTTGAATATATTCATTGTAAACTTAAATATTTATTGTTGAATTGCTAATAAAGTACATCTCCAAAAAGTTATATCTCTTTTTCAGCCTTATTCATTTTCAGGCAGTTCAGAAAGTGTTAATGTGACCGGAAAAGGAATCGATTATTCTAATGAAGTGCATGGAGCTGCTTTAAACACAAATGATATTGATTCAATTAAGAAATTCTTAAAAGAGTATGCATCAAAAGCTTTACTCCCTTACTTAGAAAAACAAATTGCTCAACTATCGGAAGTGGTATGTTTAGATTAAGGCTAAACACTTGTGTAATTGATTAATTTATTGATATACTTAGTAATTTTACTTAATAAATTATTCCATGTTACGCAACTATATATAGATAGATACTATTAGACGCAACACAACATACATAATTTTGCGAGCAGTGGTAAAGTTTAGCACATTGGGCTAATTAGTAAAGTGCAATCGCTTGAATTTGAAAGAAAAGAAACTAGGCTTAATTCGTACAGTTAATCACTCAATTTTCCCAAAGTCTATTTTTATTTATTTTATTGAAATTATCATATTGGTATATAGATATAAAAAGATAGACAGTTTCTAAGATCACTTTATTTTTTATTTAGGTATGGTATGTACTTTTTGTTGTAACATTTTTAGCAAAAAATATTACAAGTATTAAACATTTCTAAACACAACCCTGATCTAATGATAAAATAAAATGATAATTTGCATCAAAACAATACTTTACTAAGTACGTAGTTATGCTCAAATCTGTTTTTGTTTATCAAGGTTGCCAATAGAAAGGGCGTAAGTAGATCGTTGTTGTCAGCGACTAAACGGTGGTTTGCAACTGGCAAAGGTGGAAATACTACCGGAAATAACACCGTAATGTAAGTATATTATAAAAAATTCCTTGAAGTGCAACCTACACTTACATAATTAATTTCCTTTGTGAGCCCGACACCTAAATTAATTTTTAAAATAAAACTGAGTTCCTTAAGAAAAGTTGATTAGTTGCTCCAACTAATTGTGAAATATTAGAACTCTTTTATAGTGTACATGTTCTTGTTATTTTTCCTCAAACCAATTTTTTTGAATAAATAGGTAAATAATAATAAGTGGACATTAACTTAGACCGCTCACCGCACTAAATAAATTACGCTGCTCATACGAAAGTTTTGCGAAAAGGCAAAAAGTTACCTATTTCTAACGACAAATAGCAGTGCGTGCACTGCTTTTTTTTTTGCATGGGGAAATGCCTACGCATACCCGCCTCGCGGGGGCAAGAACGGGTTATGTCGGACTCGCACCGACTAAAACCCCATGGTGTTCCACCTTCGTCGCATATTTGCAGGGCTACGGGAACGCTTTCGCACACATCCGCGGCCCTACTAGCGCCTGCCGCCCCATGGCAGCACCTCCTCGGGAGAGGAAAATTCCTCCCCGTTCTCCTTCCCAGGTAAGGCGCACCAGAACACATGGCGCGCCTTCCTCCACGGCCTCAAATTACGTCTGTGCAACAGACGCCCCCGCGTCCGATGCACAAAGGCCATGGGGCCAGGAAAAACGAGCACTTAGAAGTACTAGCCTTCCCGACCCCAGCGGCGGATCTGGTCTATGGCTCCGCCGCCAACCATGATTCGGCTGCGGAGGGTAGGGAGAGCGGCGCCTCGCAATACCGACAATCCTCTCCCCCCGCAGCTCCACCACCACCGCATCAACGGTGCGGCCCCGTTTGAGTCGCGAAGGATAGGGCGAGTGGCGCATCGCCATACCAAAACTCCTCTTCCTCCGCGATTCCACCTCGGCTGCAGCGGTAGAGGGTGCGCGAGTCCCCACTCGCTGCAGTCCACCAGCACACATCCGAAGTGGGCTCCCCAAGCCCACTCGGAGTGGCCACCTCAGGCCGGCCCTTCACCTCGGGCCAGCCACGTGGGTTCCTCTTTGTTCACCGTGGGAGACCAAGCCACGGCTACTAAGCCCCCCGCCACAACAAGGCGGGAACCCGTTCGGGGGGGAGTGCGTGCACTGCTGAGTTCTGGTCTTATGTCTCTATAGTCATATTGAGACGCTATAGACTGATGAGTATAGAGAGCCAGTATAATTTTACCGGCTGTGAGGCATTTCATCAGAACCTCAGAAGTGATAACGCATCGTCAGCTGAGCTTTTTATGTGAAGTTGGTTGCAGGTGTCCATGAGCTGCAGTGAACACTTGTCACTTGAATTTTGTAAAAAGGTTATGAGATTAAACTTTTTATTAATAAATATTTTCAAAAACCTCCCACTAACATCTAAACAAAGTTTCATGAGTCTGAAACAAATTTCATTTTTAAAATATTCTTCAGACACCTCTTCTATCATCATCATCATTACAGCCCTTCACAAATCCACTGCTGAACATAGGCCTCCCCCAAGGTATGTGACAAAGCACGGCCCTGAGCCACCTGCATCCATCGACTTCCTGCATGTCTTACCAGGTCGTCACTCCATCTAGTGGGGGATGTCTTCTATGGTCTACTGTAATGAATGCTACAGCGATGAAAACTGTAAACTTTTAGAGAATTGAAAAATGGTCACTCGGTGCTAAATAAGGGTTATAAGGAGGGTGACCCAAAAGCTCAATCGGTATACAGGAAGTCCTTCACTGCTGGTTTCTCTCGATTCTCATCGGATGGCCAGGCGTCGCTCGCGCTCTGAGCCGAAACTTCTCATTATCTCTTAAAGTAAGCGTCCAAATAACATGCTATGAAGAGTAAAGTTTATCTTCATAAAATTTTGTTGATGATGACGTAACTTTCATTCGTAAGGATTAATATGATATGCCTAATAATAACGCTCATAAAATCATTTTTTAATTTTTAATATTTTTGTCACAAAATACCTTATTGTGGCTTATGTATAAAAAGAGGCCTATGGTATCGTGATGTTTTTTTTAGATGGAGGAAAGATCTATATTTTTGTAGAACGTTGCATCTACGTATCACTAGCTTACGCGGATAAAGCAGTTCTTGAGCGCTTCTAAAAATTGGTGGAGGGAATTAAAATTAGTACATTCATATTTCTTATTTTAGTGTCTCATTCAAAAAACTTTTTTCTCAAAACCGCGTGGTCTGTTGTATTTTTCTATGAAGATATTTCATTTCGATGAGTAAGGTTTATTTAACAAAAGAATCAATTTCTATTATTTTGCAGATACTCGAACGACTGTCCAGAACTACAGCTTCGACGTTTAGGTGATCTTTGGTTCTTATGTGGACAGTGGCAGCGAGCATTCGACGCGTACCACACAGCTAAACGAGAGTTCTACGCGGACAGCGCTTGGCTGTGCTATGCTGGGGCGCTTGAAATGGCTGCCATCAGTGCTTTTATGGCTGGAGAGGCAAATCGTAAAACGCATGGATATATGGAGGAGAGCATTGTGACATATCTCAATACTTGCAGGTAAGCATTTTTTTATAGGATAGGGTGACAAACTAGCACACAGTCCAACTGATGGTATCTACATCTACTAGACAGTAAACAGATGCTATTATACTGAATTATAGAGGAAAGCAGGCAAAACTTTCTGTGTCCCACGCGAATCCAATCCTCTTATAAAGGGTTGTCAACAGTTCACGTTTGTCATTTACCCTTTTTTGTCCAGGTATTTCGAACATTTTTGATGCATTTTTACTGCTCTTAATATACTGTCTTATACTAATAAAATTCGGTAACGGTGGCCAGTCTCAACGAAGACTAGCGCAGTACAGGATTAACGTACAAGAATGTGTTCGCAAGCAGAGTTGTGCTCAATTCCCTCACTCTATACATATATATTTGTATGGGACGGCAATCCGATACAGTGATCTTTCTCCGGTAGTTTCGGATTGCCGTCATCACACATCGGCAAACTTCCTGGCTCCAGACTGCTACTGAGAATTTCTTGACAGAAAACCTCAAAACTGATTTTGGCCCGACCCGGAACCGGATGAATTAGCCGATGTCGGCTTCTCGATAGACTCGACGAAACTCTATTTCCGTGTAGTTTATGTTCGGAGTGACTGTTAAGTTGTTTTCTGTAGTAACATAGTAAATTTATTCGTATGTAGTGTGCGTCTTGCAGGGTAGTTTCCAAGGTTCATCATAGCAGTGTCATCAGCATACCGAGTATTGTTGGCAAGTTGTCCATTTACACAAACTTCATCAATTGTAATTAACAAACTAACTTAATGTTATTTTACGTTCTTATTTTCCATATGCTCAACAAAAAATAAAAATTTGAGGAAACCAGACTGGTACCAGGAAGAAAGAAATATTTTACAAACATGTGTAATCCGTTAACACGTACAGCAATGACGTGGTAGAATACTCCCATTTACTTTTTTATTGATTCATTACAGCCTGTCAAAAATCCTCTGCTAAAAACATAGGCCTTCCTGCCTCATAGTTAAGATCTTCATATTTGTCACCGTTTGGCAAATTATTGTGTGTAATTTTAAATCTATAAATAATTAAATTTTAGGCATCCATAAACGTAGCTGTGAGATAAGGGCTTAAGTGAAATATTATGTATTAATTATTCCCTTCTGATTGACGAGCAAAGCTTTAGTGACCTATGGATGCCTTAAATTCTATCCAAAAACTAGTTTTCTTTTAACTCACTACTAGATGCAGACTTTTAAAAACTCGTTACCTTACATAATTTGAAAGATTTGGTTATACTTACAATTAGTGTTGCCCAAAATCGGTCTTGTTCTTTTAGTCTTGGTCTTGTTCTTGCATTTTTGCAAGACCGAGACCAAGAACAAGACCGCCTAATTTTAGCAAGACCAAGACCAAGACTGACCGTGCAAGATTTGAGCAAGAACAAGACTAAGCCTGCGAGACTCTTGCGTCTTGCAGTTAGGAATGAGTGTCGTTTCAGGGAGTATAGGAGTTCGGGTATACGCTTAGGGACTCTATGAGACGCAAAAAATATATAAAAAAAAATTTGGAAAATTGGACTTATGCGCATTACGAGCAATACCATAAACATACATAGCGGATGAAAATATCCATTAAAAGAAAAAACAGTGCATCCCTAGTTTTGACCATCGGCACTTTGATAGTGCGCGGCGTCTTGTTGTCGGCATCATCAAAGGTCGAATACTGACCTGTCAAAGAAATTTTGCAGCTATTCGGAAGTACAAGGTCAAGATACACGCGCCGGCGGCTTCTATTGATATCGCATTCAATCGTCGCCGCCGCGCCGCACGCACTACATTTGACACTGTTTGAATGCCGCCACAGAGTACATGTTCCAAAGAATAAAATAAGTTTCCGTGTGCTCAGAATGGACACGAATAAATTAAGCTGATCTCGCAAGGAATATTGTAATTAGATAATGGTAAGGATAGGTAGATACCACAATAATTTATTCTAGTGAGTAATTATTATAATATTAACTATATGGGTTTATAATAATTACTTACTATTATTACTATTACCTAATAGATAAACATGTTCAATAAGTTCACTGCAAATCTCGATTTTTGGAAGTGTGTGTTTTTGAACACAAAGTGTTCGAATATGTCGTCACCCATTTGATAAATATTGTAGACACTTTTAACACACTTGAAACGTGTAAACATTTTGTACAATGCTAATCGAATAATATAACAAGTGTGCATATTAAATAAAAAGCCTAAAATAAGATCTATGTACTTTTTAGGAGCCCGAGTATCTCTTAGAGAACCGTTTAAAGAAATTGATTGCATCGAATTGATGTAAATAATAGTGATTTGCACAATTTTAATAGTAGAAATAAAAATAAAATCACAATACCTGCTTTCCGGTTACACAAAGTATATAATGCGTTCTTGGGTAGCGATATACGCTTTTATAATAAGATTCCAAAAGAAATGTTAGATCTTTCACCTTTTCAATTTAAGTCAGACAAAAATGCTTGGAACTGACCTCTCGTACTACACAGGACTAACTAGAAATTTCTAAACCGATTTGGTATCTACATATACATTTGACATTTTATGTTTGACTTATCGCTTTACATAATTATAGAACTATTGTAAAAATATTTTGAAAAGAGCAACTACTGAGTTTCTTACTTTCTTCCATGATTCTTCTCAGTAGAATCAGAACCCCTGGACATGGAAAAGAAAAAATTGGGGAAAACAGTGATTATATGACTATTCAAAAGTGTATTTTTAATGCCTACTTGAATAAAACATATTTGAATTTTGAATTTCAAACGAGTGAAGGCAAATTTAATTTAATTAACGTAGATTAATTCAATCACAAGAAGAACATAATATACAAAATTTTATTTACATATTTACATTTCATTTTTACGTAGGCACACTATACCTATCTGGCAACGCATCTACTTTATTAATCTTCTGAAGAATCATTAATTTTATCAAAGGATGCCGAACTTTCCTTTGTCGGTCTTTCGGCGTGTACTTACAAATAGTAGTATTTATTTTAATTCCAGTCATTCCCAATTGAGCTTTGCTTCGAGTCTAATGTATTAATTGTTTTTACTCTAATCCTTGTTGTTCTCGGAGTGATATAGTTTACAATTTGACATGAGTGACGAAGAGTCGAATAGTTCTAGTCGGAGTTGGGTTGGAGTTATAGATCTAAAAGACCTAAAAGTAAATTTGATGAGTTTTTCGACATAATTCATGCATCCCAAATTGCTTTGTGTAAATTATGCCAACATAAAAAGGTTGAAATAAAAATGAAAAACAGAAACACTACTAGGCTTGAGGAAGCATCTAAGATCTTTCCACAAAAAGGAATCACAAATATTTCTTCCTGAAAAACTAAAATTAAGTGGAGATATCACAAGCTTTTTAATAACCACCGGAAAAAGTGGAAAGGTAAGAAAAAATATACTTATCACACAATTACATAACACATATATTATGTAACTAGCGGCCGCCTGCGACTTCGTCCGCGTACAATATCTGATTTCCTATGAGATTTTGAAATTTTCTCGCTGCAAAAGTCTTACCTAAGTATAAAGAGGCTATATAGGTAAGGTAAAGCTTAACTATGCAAGTATTTATTATTTAAAACTAATAAAGTAAATGTCGATCTTCATATCTATACTTTAAAATATAGGACTTGCATGTAACCATTTTACCCCAATTTCACCCCCTTAGGGTTAGGATTTCGTAAAACAGCTTATTCAGGATTTCATTATTGAAAACTTATAACTTTTCCTTTTTTCTCTTTTTCTTTTTCTCTTCTTTGGTTTTATAGTTCCTGAGATATCGTTATAGTCAGTTAGTGAGTGGTAGTATATATATATATATAGATTATAGTGTTAAATATGTATTTATAATTCACTCATATTTTCATTTGTTTTTATAATCGGCGAGACACATGATTTACTGTTTTATTTTAGTCTGAAAATAGCAGTGACAACATCACGACAGCTACAGTTGATTGGATGGTTAAAAAATATCTTCCCTTCTCATTTTTCGATGACGAAGCTACACAAGTATATTTTCGATCAATTTGCCCAAATATGGTGTTTCCTAAAAGGTCCACACTTAGAAGGAAGGTCAAAGAACGGTTTGAAGAGCTTCAATTGAATCTTAAGAAACGACTACAACAATTTTCATCTAAAATGTCATTTACGATGGATGGACGTCAATTGCTGGTAGGAGTTACTACGGGGTCACTATTCATTATATAGACAACGAATGGAAGTATCGATCTGTTGTCCTTGATTTTATACCATCACGCGGTCGACATACTGGGGCAGATATTGCAACGATTTTCCACGAATGTTTATTGGAATATGACATAATTGATAAAATACAGGGTATCACGGTCGACAATGCAACTGCAAACACCATTATGTATGAATTGGACAAACAGCTGCCACACTTTGATTCAGACAATCAACATTTCCGGTGCTTTGCTCACATTTTGAACCTTAGTGTACAAGATTTATTAAAGACCTTAGCATTACACAGTGAAACTGACAATAAGGGACAAGAACAGCAGTATGAAGATAATGAAGACGAAACTGAGGAAGATGAAGAATATGCGCCAAATATTGCTGACTCACGTACAGCTATAACAAAATTACGCAGTATTTCCAGTAAAATATAATTTTCCTAGAAAGTCCTATAAAGTTCTACCTTTCAGATTTTTTTATATTTTTAAACCTATGGTTCAAAAGTAGAGGGGGGGGAACATGTTTTTTATTTGATATTGATTTGATTAAAGATTGTCCCTATTCATTTTTATATTTCCTACGTAAGGGTTGAATTTAGGGGGGCTACCCTAATAAAACATTTTTTTCCAATTTTTATTTTACCACTTTGTCGGTGTTGTACACATATTGGTACATTTCAGCTAGTGGAAGAATTAAGGGTGTAGGAACCCTAAAAAGAAGTGAGATATTGAAGAGGAAGTTTAGTCTGCTTGTGAAGCAGCTGGCGTGCCATCAAATCTGAACCCCATACTCGACTGTCCAACGAAATGGAATTCCACACATGATATGTTTGGATTTGGTTTAAAAGTGAGAACTGGCATTAACATATTGTGCACTTCTGTCACCGAATTAAATGATTTTCAAATCACAGATAGTGAATGGCAATTACTCGAAAAAATACATAAGTTTCTAATAAACTTTAAACTTCTATCAACGAAACTTGTTGGAGAAAAATATGTTACATTACCGCTAGTCATTGTATCATTCAATCTCTTGCTCGATAAAATTGAATCCATGGTAAAACAATTAGATGAGAAACCTAATCGATCCGAAGTGGATGAAAGGCTCATTCTGGGTTTTCAAGCAGCTCGAGACAAAATGCTTAAACATTATAAAAAGAGCAACTGGATTTATTGTACCTCTTTAATTTTAGACCCAAGGCATAAGACTCAGACTTTTGACATGACATTATGGGGGAAGCAAATTAAAACAGAAAGCCTGCGCAAATTTAATGAACTTTATAAAGAATATAAAAGTCTACACTCAGTGACTTCATCTTTAGAATCACCAAGAAATGAAAAGAAAGTATGTGAATATGATGAAGATGAAGACGTAATAGACTTTGAGAAATTGTATGCATGTCCCTCGACTTCATCTGGATCTGGATCTTTTCATCAAGGCTTAGTTATAGACGAGTTGGAGGAGTATAAGTAAAGAGGTTGGGGGAAGAGAAGAGTGATTTTCTTTCAATCCTGTGTGAGGATTATTTTGTACTGAATAGGTTAAGTGATGAGTCAGCCAGATGGTTACTTTGTATTAATTCTTGGTCAAAAGAATTAATATAAAGTTACAGTAATGTCAAAGCTGTTGTGTACTGTTATGTAATTTAATTTGTATTGTATTTTATTTTTTATTTAAATAAATGGTAAATTGTATAACTCTTTTATTCCATTTCATATAAGGGTCTATCAATCTCTTTCTAGACAGATAATGTTCTTTATAATACAGTCAAGTTAATGTCATTAATTTGTTTTTTATATGTTTTGACTAAGTTTTAGCACATGTAAGCTTATTAAATGTAAACGTTTATTAAGAAATAGACTAACTCCCGTGGCTGTGAGACTTGGTAGACAGCTCAGTTGGTTAGAGCATCGGCACGGATCGCTTAGGTCGTGGGTTCAAACCCCACCCGGTATTAGTTGATTTTTCGAATTTCTTATTAAATGTTTAGACATTTATTAATTTGGTTGGTCTTTCTATGGCTATGTTAATTCAAGCTCAAAATGTGCCTACTCTGTTAAGTTGTTCTAAGATCTAAAGTAACGTTTAATAAATAACAATAGGCTAATAGGTAATTGCGAGATTTGCGAGACTCTTGCTGCAAGACCAAGACCAAGAACAAGACTGAGAGCGCAATACCAAGACTAAGAACAAGACCAGGTGTACTGGCGCAAGACCAAGACCAAGACTGGCTAAGTCTCGTCTTGTTCTTGCATTTGGGCAACACTACTTACAATGCTGAGCTTATATAGACATTCCCGAAAGCGGATGAGCACTACTTTTAATTGTGATGAATATAAACACGTACTATGTGCGTAACTACAGGTGGCCTGTAGTTACGCACACTAACGGCACTGACGGCAATCCGACGTGACCGGAGAAAGATTACTGTATCGGACTGCCGTCTCATAGAAATATAAGAGTGAGGGTATTGAGCACAACTCTGCTTGCGCACACGTTCTTGTACGATAATCCTGTACTGCGTTAGTCTTCGTTGAGACTGGCCACCGTTACCGAATTTTATTAGTATAAGACAGTATATTAAGAGCTATGCTTGGTCCATCTTTTTACGAATGCGAAATCTGGGTCCTGCTAAAAGATAACTGCGATCGATTGTATGTGTTTAAGATGATGATGATGATGAAAAAATGTTCGAAATACCAGGGCAAAAAAAGGGCAAATGACAAACGTGAACTATTGACAACTCTGGTGCTCTTCAATCCAGGTATGACACATCAATGTATTTAATTGAGCGGATGGTTACGAATTAAATATTAATATCTTTATTATTGTTAATGTCTATAGTTTGCCATCACCCTGAACAGGTGGATAAGCGAACTATAGAGACGCAAAGGACGCATTTCAGTATAAATACAAACTATAGCGTATTCTTAAAGCAACAGTCTTTGATCACACTGTTAAAGATGTAAAATGACTTCCCTCTATAATATCGCGGCTAAACTTCCTTGCCCACTATTATAGCTGAATCCAAAATTATTATTCAACTTTCAGAATGGTGCAATACGCTGTCAGAGCTACTTTACTCTCAGCCTTGTGTCTGATAAACTCCGGGCTCCATGGAGAAGCTGCTAAACAACTAATTCGTATGACTTCAGAAGACAGTGACTTACGTAGCGCGATGCTGTTAGAACAGGCTGCTCTTTGTTTCCTCTCAGGACCGGGCACTAAAGCAATGTGCAGAAAGTACGCATTCCACATGGTCCTCGCTGGACACAGATTTTCAAAAGCCGGACAAAAGAAACATGCCTACAGATGCTACGACCAAGCTTATCAGGTACATTGTTGCTTACTTGTTTGGTAATATATGACAGCCTCGTTGGTCTAGTGGTTGTAGTAGCGACTGCTGATCATGAGGTCCTGGGTTCTTCGAATCCCGTGTAGGGCCAAAAAATTATTTATTGAGTTTTTCCGTCAAGAAATTCTCAGTAGTTGCTCGGAGTCAGGAAGTTGGCGGTGTCTCACCCCCGTGCCTCGGAAAGCACGTAAAGCCGTTAGTCCTGAGCCTAATCTCTCTCCCGGTCGTGTCGGTTTACCGTCCCATCGGATTACGAGAGTGAGAGAATAGAGAGTGCACCTGTGCTTGCGCATACACTTGGGCACTATAATCCTGTCCTGCGCCGATGGCTAGCCTCCGTTGAAGCAGGCTGCCGTGGCTGAAATTCGATCTGGAGGACATTATTATTCGTACTATATTCTTTTATTTCTAAGAAGATATCCTTTTGCCCTAGTGGACATAATATACAGAAATCGTTTTTCCCAGCTTTGGAATAGTCTGAAAATAGACATCATCAAAGTTCAAATTACAAAATCACGTTTTAATTTAGAGTTACCGTTATAGACTGTTAAAGTCCACTACTGAACATAGGCCTCCCCCATAGATTGCCTCATATCCCCCATATTTGCCATAGTTGTCACGCTTGGTAAGCGGATTGGCAACTTTTTAATTTAAAGTATATTATATTTATAAATTAATTATTCTGGTCATCGACGATATCGACCTACATAATATAATATACATATAAATACTAGCAACCCGTCTCGGCTTCGCACGGGTCAATTTCCATGTGGCGTCATTTATTCACACCTTCGTTTAAAACCAAAGGCTAGATTAAAAAAAATGATAATTTTGTTATTTTTATTTTTCAAATAAAAAAGTCTGAAAGACGGTTGACCTTGCGGGACATCATTGGAATCTCCCGCTTATTTTCGAGCTCAATGCTCGAATCTATTGATTTTTGGGCTCAAGACGCTTTCAAAAATTATAGCTATTTAAACATCTCAAATAATATGTTTAAAGAGCTATAATTTTTGAAAGAGTCATTCGATTTTGACTTGCTTGGCGGCATCTGACGCAGTTTTTTAAGCACAAAAAAGGGTTTCTGATGTCTGGAGTTAATTGATCAAATATTTTGAAAGTTATTTAAGAAAAACTTAAAGAATTCTTTTATTGATTTTTTATTTTTTGAAAATCTTTGAAACGGCTCGTTCGATTAACTTGAAAATAATTAATAATATCAATATTCAGCTCGAAGTCTCAATGAACACTTTCGAATGATGCCCATCTCGATCGATTGATTCATTCTAAAGATATCGTACGAAACCCTCAACGACCCTCTGGCCTTCCTGTCAGAGGTTGTTTTGAGAACCGCTAAATGAATTTTTACAGAGTACCTACATTTAGTAAAATTTCAATTGTTTCTATTTAACCAACATTATGTGACTTATGCTGCCTTATATAGGTTTCACATTTAAAATGAAGTTATATATTATATTTGTGAACATTTATTATTGTAATTAGCTGTGACTGTCCTTAGAGAAACATAAAATAAAGTGAATTGTACTGTGGCAGGTGTACGCGGGCAGCGGGTGGCGGCTGGCCACGGACCACGTGCAGTTCGCGCTGGGGCGGCTGGCGGGCGCGCTACGGCGGGGCACAGCGCCGCGCTGGCTGGCCGCGCCGCTCGCACCTGCCAGCCCGCAGCCGCCGCCGCAGCAGGCCGCCTTCCTGCGCGAGTACATGCTGGCGCACCAGGTACGCTGTACTCCGCCCCAACACATCTCACTCACCGGCTTCCAATCGCCGGAAGACTTATTTAGAGAACCGTTGTGATTTGAAACTCGATAAAACGAAAAAGCGACTCTCAAAAGAGTCAAACACATTCATAGATAAGATTTAGCCTGCGAGAGAATGCAGTAGAATATTATATTAAAGGAGACGGGCGAAAGTTCATAGAAAGCTGGGCCTGATGTTACAGTAACGATTACTGCATTATTTTATTTATATACCAATACCATTTCAAAAAAACCATAATGCTTACGACTGCTTCGTGGTAGAAAAAAATAGGATGTTATTGATTTGTATAAAAACAATGTTATTGCTTACGTTATGCTTACAATGTAATTCTTACACCAAGCTCTCACATTACACTTTAAGAAAATATTTATTAGACTTTATTGTAAACTAGACTTTAACGTAATTTTATGTATTGTAGGACATTCACACATAGAGGATTCAGACGCCGCCGTCCAACTAAATTCTAGAGAAAAAAGCTGAGCGAGTATGAAATAAAAACACTTTCTCTTTTATTGATTTATTAATCGTCCACTTCATCATAAACAAATGAAATGTCGTCTAAAAACGGTGCATGTGGTATTAAATTCTCTTGACGCCTTGCCCACCTTAGGTACCATATTATGGACATTACATGACAACAATAACCTACATTCTTTTTCCTACCAAGCAATTAAAATAATACTGTTTGATGGCCTCTCCACCATTAAGAGAACTGTCAACTAAAATATATGTAAAATATGTTTTTGAGCTTAAGTATTTTATTCGACCATTTAATAGCCAGCTAGAATGGTTGGATATTGACAGTTCTCTTAGTAAGTTGCTGACCGTTTCTCGACACACTTCTATTTCATATCTCCCATCTTGTATGTGTTCCCCATAATGGGACCTAGCCTACTTAATTTGATAAATACCTAAAGATATTTTTATTAAATTGCTATGTGTGAGCTGGGGAAAATCATTTAAGTTATCATTTTGCACATGTATTCTTGTAAAATTAGAAAAGTAACCGTCAAAATCCTTTAAACATAGCCAGAGTCGTTAAAATATTATTACAGCACACAAAAACAACAGAAAATATTCACTACCACAAAAAAACGTAACAAACGATTTAATTGACGCTTGAGTTTTTGAACTAACGTTGACATTTTCGCTTTGTGGCCTGTATAAAACATTGATAATCGATTGTAAAATCGATTTATTAATCTATTCAGTCAATTTATTTTTACGACTTTTTTGAAACCTTGAAGTGTCACGAGGAAACCATTATTTAAATATAATTTTCTTAAACTTACCTAAAGAAGAAAATACTGAATTACTTTTTATTATTTTTTTCCATTTTTGTATCAAAATCGATTAACTAACCTATTTCATGCGGCAGCATTGTTTAAAAATGAAAATAACTGAATTCCGTATTATTTTTATTTAATATTTATTTTCTTTTGCCATGATAAAACTACTTAATATTTCATTATTAACTACAAAAAAACTGTAAAACAATATTGATAAATATTTCACTTGTGTAATGGTTAGGCCCCCGTATTCGCCTGTCTCCTTTGTCATGTTTAGGCCACGAGTGTTAATCGATGAATTGTAATGGGATGGTCACACTGATATGTTGCGATATCGTTGCTTTTGTTCAGTCCTCTATTGCTGTACCTCACCCTGCTAATAAATGTAGTATTATCTCGTTTCTGAGATTAATCTGACATAATTTTTGGAGTCACTATTCAGTTTATTTAAAAACAAAAACACTTTGGTAATTATTATTTTTTAGCTGACTGAATTTGTGTATTAATATTACCTTTTAATTTCTCGAATTCGACATTATCGCATAAATCTTTCTTTACGGATTAGACTTTTGCACACTGACTTCAAGAGTGTAGTGTAGGGAATGAAAAAATCTGTGAGATATATATTTTATAAATTGTGATTTTAGGGTTGTCACATTTTGTTGTGCATAAAATGTTTCAATTTTATTTGATGCACAGAAGAGCGAAGATGTCACGATCATTCTCATGTTGATGTCGTTCATCTTCTATGTTACTCGTCGATATTATACATAAATATTTTTTAAATAGAAAGATTTTATGAAACGCACAACAAAATGTTATTACAATATAAAATCTGAAATATATCTCTTAGAATTTTTTAAATTATATATATATATATATATATATATATATATATATATATATATATATATATATATAAGAGGACTTTTTTATATAATCTGCTACCATGGTATAATGGTATAGTAATTTGATGCTGCTTCTTGGAGGTCTTTCTTCCATAACCCATATACGTAAACTGTGGGTATAACTAAGCTATAGGTATTTTAATATAAATAATTTTCACAACAACAATAAACCCTTCTGAACAATATGAGCTGCCACTGGTAGAACGGGAATCATAGTCCTACATAATATATTGAGTGCGTGTGGAAGTGTAACGTTACTTGGTGCTTCAGAACTCTCGAAAGATTTCACGCAGGATCCTCAAATGCTGTATACAACATCGTATCAGGTGACGAATCCTGGATATATGCGTACGAACCCTAAACAAAAAACCAGTCACGAGTTTGGGTGTTCGAAAATGAGTTAAAGCCAACAAAAATAGTTCGTTCACGGAGTATTGTAAAAAAAATGGTGGCCACGTTTGTCTCCATAACTGGCCATGTTTACGACTATTCCTCTTGAGGGTCAAAGAACGGTTAATGCAGAATGGTATGCTAGCATTTGTTTGTCACAGGTCGTTTCTGAATTCCGTAAAGAGAACTGCAACCGCCGCATCATCCTCCATCACGACAATGCGAGTTCTCACACCGCACACAGAACAAAAAAGTTTTTAGAGCAAGAAAACATAGAATTATTAGACCATCGCCGTACAGCCCCGACCTAAGCCCTAATGATTTCTATACTTTCCCTAAAATAAAGAATAAATTGCGTGGACAGAGATTTTCATCACTTGAAGAAGCTGTGGACGCCTACATAACGGCCATTTTGGAGACCCCAACTTCCGAATGGAATGGTTGCTTCAATTATTGGTTCCATCGAAAAATGTGTCAAATTTCGCTTAGAATACTTCGAAAAGCAATAAATACATTTTTAAATAGTAATGTTGTGTCACTTCCTTGATTCCCGAAATTTTCAGTGCCGCCCTCGTAGCGATTGTCCGGCAGTAATGGATAGACAGCGCTGACGGGTTTTCGGAGCGACTGACGTAGAAACATACGTTAATAGTGTGAGTCGTTGCAGAGGGGTGAGACCTCAACTCGCGATCGTCTGGTAGGAATGAATATATCGTAGCAGCTCTCTAGAGCGGAGAAGAGTTCTCGCAGCGGCTGATGTAGAAGTGTACGTTCACAGTATGAGTTGCTTTAGTTAGGCGAGCCCTCGACTAGCAATCGTCCAACAGTAGTGGATCTATCGTAGCTGTTCTCTAGGGCATCGAGGAATTTTTGGAGCGTCTGCCGTAAAAGTGTATGTTCGTAGTATGAGCCGTTATAGTGGGGCGTGATGTTAAGTCTTGTTGCAGTTTCGGAAGTGACTTTCGTAGAAACATACGTTCATAGTATGAACTGCTGTAATGGGGCGAGACCTTAAGTCGCAATCGTCTGACAACAATGGATAGGAGGAATACTTACAGAGGCTGACGTAAAAACGTACGTTTATAGTATGAGCCACTGTAGTGGGGTGAGACCTCAATTTTTTTTTGTCATCATTGCCGGGCAGCAATGGATAAGAAGTAGTTCTCAGAGTGGCTGACGTAGTAACGTACGTTCTTAGAATGTGCCGTTGTAATGTCGCGAGAGCTCAAGTGGCGATCGTCCAACAGCAATGGATCGAGAGCAGCTCGGAGTTCTCGGAGCGGCTGCCGGTGGTGCCGGTGCCACTAGCGCGGCACGGCGAGACGCGCGTGGCGTGCGTGGGGCCGGCGCCGCTGGGTGCGGCCGGCCGCGTGGCCGCCGCCGCGTCGCCCGCCGCGCGTGCCGCCGCGCACTGGCCGCGCCTCGAGGAGATGCTGCTGCACGCCGCGCAAGGCGCCCCGCCCATGATATTCAAGCCCACCGTCGACCTCTACACCGAGCGCACCGACGCCAACCCCATCGTGCCGCAGGGAGGTCAGTTTTTATCATTACCCTCTACCCAAATACTTCTATGTTTACTACTAGACGGAGTCTGTTACCTAAATTTTTTGTTCTAAATTGCCGGTCTAGTAATAAACATAGAAAGTTTACCGTGCTAGGTATCTCGTATCTCGTATTTACGCGAATACAACTCGCGTTATGTAAGAAGAACGCTGGCGGTCAAATTGCGCATCAGGCGATTTATCGGTCTATTTGGTAGTGTGAGGTGTGGCGCGGGGCGGGTGGGACACGCGCCCCATGCTTGCTGGTGCGCTATCGGTTCGCCAGTCGACCTTAGCGCGTGTCACGTTTTATACGTTATAGTCAACCAAATCTAAGAAATACCTTTTGACGTTTCACATTAATTATTCCGCAATAACTTTGCACAAACGTACTCATACGATTTACAATAACCTTTTACCTAAATCTGAAGAATTATGAAGTTATCTATATTTAATTACAACGTGTTTAGTTTTTTATCGCTAATTTAAATTTGAATCTTTTAAAGAAAGCAAAATATTAAAAAAATAACCAGTATCAACTTTTTTACTTGACGCCGTTTCAATGATATGTTGTTATGTGTCTTACCGTAGTGTTTGGATGACTAAAATTCGTTGATATGCGAATAATCGGCAAAAAGATTCAAGTAATCGTTAAATGCCATTAAAAACATAACTTGTAAAAAAACAAGTCTCGCAACTCAGTTCTTCTACCGTAAAAAGTTCTGAGATCCATGTAATACCAAGTCTGTTAATTTATTCAGTTCCTACTTAAGGGTCCTTCTGTTTTAAGTTATTACGTAATTAACTAACCTAACAACATTTTATAGTGACGCATTAAGCAATTGCCAAGTCAATCTATGTATTTAATATAATACGTATTACTTGTGAGAAACTTTGTGGTTTCATGCGATGGCCAAGTCAATCTATATATTTAAAACATAAAAGACTTTTAAAATTGATATGGTCACTATAAAATGTTGTTAGGTTAGCTAATTACGTAATAACTTAAAACAGAAGGATCCTTAAGTAGGAACTGAATAAATTAACCGACTTGGTATTACATGGATCTCACAACTTTTTCTTGCGTCTACAAATGCAAAATATGTAAAAATATAGTTTTAGGTCCTGAACATTTTTTTCTTCGGTCATAGCAGGAAGTCAAGAATTAGAGATATTCCAGTTTAAACAAAATACACATCAGACTAGTCTGTATAGTATAAAACGCCTAACTGGTAAATCGTTACAACAACTAGTCAATATAACTTTCATATATGCTTATATAGGGTAGTTACTAGCATAGAAGGAATCCTTAAAGAACGCATTAGTATATATAGAAGAGTTTTCTGAATAAAATACGCGTCAAACTCGGCTGTACGTTATAAGATCTTTGTCTGTCTTAACTGACGAATTGTAACAACTACAACAACTAGTCAATTAAGTTTTTAATTGTGTATGATTATTTTTTCTATAGCCCATAAGCTTGATTAGATGATACGTAGTAAATTATTTTATTGATATCTGTAATGGTGACTTAAATAGACGCTTAATAATTCCATCACCTATTATTTCGCCATTGTCCTTTGTGTAGGCAAAAAAACTCATATACAAGGCCGCGCTGAAAAAAACCACTACGTAATTTCAATCTCCCGCCATTTCGGGAGCTTACTGTGCGTAATTCTGTCATTTTCTGTTTGTCTTCTTATTTTGTGACTCTGTTTTAACTTTTTGGACTGTTTCTTCTATATTCGTTGAAGCATGTGCATATCAAAAACGATGATTAGGCAAAAGTGGTAGAAAAAAACAAAAAAAAAATTATGGATGACTTTTTTGACATTTATTTTGACTGCATTATTGAAAATCAAATAATAATTAATCTAAACAACGACAGCTCAAGTAGTTGTACTGAAAGTGATTGAATAAATTTATCTTTAATCTAGTTTCAATCTAAAATGTTTATAATTGTGCCTCTAGAAATAAGCAATTACAACAAATACTAAGAAATTGATAAATCTTGTGTTTTAAATTATCCGTTTTTAATTTATTCTGGTATTATCCCAACCAAACTATAAATAATTACTAATTCTAAATAAAAGATATTGTTAATCGATTTTTTAAGAATCGAATATTGTACGTTCCCATTTTTTGGTTGGCATGCTTGGTGTAATAAGTCTGACAGCTGTCAAAATGTATTTCTTAGATTTGGTTGACTATAGTTCTCAAAATACCATCCATACCAAATGGTTTTACATAGAAAAATGAGAAAAATGGTATGTGACGTATATTGTTCAATGAAGAGGGAGGCCGGTAATAATGCAGTTGATAATTTAAAATAATGTATGAAACAGACCGCAGAGGCAATAAAATATTCTGAGTCTACAGTGAGACGAATTGTAAAAGGTTCAAAATATTCTGAATTTCTTACTTTCTTCTGAACTCCCGGCAAAAATAAAAGAATGAAACAAAAAACAAAGATACACATTGACAGCTTTGACCAGGGTGTTATAAAGAAGATAAAAAATAAAAAGAATCGTCCAAAATTTTCACGTCACTGAAGAAGAAATGCCTACTGTTTTTATACGTGGTAGAGCCGTGCTGCAGTTATATTAGAAGTATAGTTGTAGCACGAATGGGTCGGCTCGACCGGGGAAGGACCACGCTCTCACGGAATACCAGCGTGAAATAGTAGCTTAATGCTGCTGTTTCGTATGGTGAGTGTAGAGAACCGGAGACCCTTTTTTACTGGAAACGAGGCATTCCTTCTTAGTCCTCACGGGTGACAACGTATCTGCATTTAGATTCGTAATCGAGGATAAATGCAGATGTCTATGGGCCACAGCAACCACTTACCATCAGGTGGACTGTGTGCTCGTTTGTCACCCTATCCTATAAAATAAGGTTGCAAAGAAAGTTACAGGATTACCTATATTTCCAAGGATCTGCAGCAAGTCTCAGTCGAATATTAAGAAAATTAGGATTTAAGTGAAAAAAACAGGAAGAAATAAAAAACTTTAATTGACCAGTGACAAATTCGATTTAAAAAAAAATTGAATATCTGAGAAAGATTAAAAAGATATAGAGAGAAAGGAAGACCTTCATTTACACTGATGAATCATACGTCGATAGTTCTCATGCGTCTCACCATTCTTGGGCAGACGGTCCCACCAAATGCATTAAAAACCTCTATCTAAATGTAGCCGCTTGGTCATAGTGCACCCGGGTGGTGAAGCAGGTTTTGTGCCGAATGTTTTGCTGGCGTTCATAGCCAGTACAAAAAGCGGCGACTTGAAAATCTGAATTCGTAGAACTACGAGCGGTGGTTCCGTACTAAACTGAAGCCAAAATCACCGCCTAATTCAGTCGTGGTAGTCGACAGTGCATCATACCACAACAAATAATTCGATGGTGCACTACCGTCCAATACAAAGAAAGCAGACAAGAAAACCTGACTACGTCAAAAAATAATTATTTTTGAAGAAATCTTACTAAAGCCGGAGTTGTACAATATAATAAAAAAAATACAAAGAGCAATTTAAGAAATTTAATATCAATGTCATATTAAACGAAGCAGGCTATTCTGTACTTTTCCCCCATATAATCCGGACTTATAGAAATGGCGTGGTCCGAAATAAAGGGATATGTCGCCAGCAAAAATGTAAGTTAGAACCTTACACTGATAACTGACCTGGTTAATGAAAAAGTAAATTAAGTAGGAGCAATAGAATAAAGGAAATTATGCATCAAGGTAAAGAAAATAGAGGCCGATTATTAGCTACGTTTGGCAGAAAAAAGCGCTAGGAAGCGCTTGTAAGCAAAATGGCGATCGTAAGCGGAAAGCGCTGTCAAATGGTAAATAGCTATTTTCCTCTAGGACGCTGAGTTAACTTTAACCGGGGAACCTAACCTAATTTAAATATATGTTTGTACAGTATTCATATTAAAAACTTAGCAATCATGAATATTTAATAACAGTATAATATGTTTATTCATGTCATTTTATATTACTTTAAACTAATTGCACAAAACAACTTATAAACTCTACTTCAAAACAAACAAAATAAATAAGCAAAATGGCGGATTGTGTCAGCGCTACTGAAGTTAGCAAACGTGTCCTGGCCGAAAACTGTATAGTTTCGCCATTTGGCTTACAAGCGCTTTTTTCTGCCAAACACAGCCATTGTGAAAACGATCATGTGGTCTACATGATGCCAGACATATTTATTATTTGTCTAGGGGACAATGACACGACATCGACGACGATGAAATTGCCACCTCTAGCACTAACACCGCGTCCTGATCTGGTTTTCAGGTCACCGACGATGATTTAACCCTTTCGCTGCTCCACACGTATATATTCGCAAAAAAAACTTGTGTATCATACGCTCCTGACGAATATTTTCGCGCTTAGTTTTAAATTAGTTAGCTGCTCAATACGACTATTTTTACTATGTATTATTCATGTTTTAAAAAAAATAAACTGCTCTACACGAATAAACTCGCAATACTTAATTTCTTTAAACAGCTCAACACGAATTAATTCGCAGCGTTTAAATGGTCAAACTGCTCAACACGAATAAAGATGAAACTACTAAAATAAATGCGCACAGCAGGCACAAAATCTCAAAACGAATTGCGCAGCGAAAAGGTTAATGGAAGGATTTACAACATTACTTTAATTTGTTGTAATTATATTAGACATTCTACACTGAATCTAACATGTTTTTAATTATATTTAATGATATTCTATCTAATATGTTTTTCAATGTACCTACCAATAACCAAAACAGAAGACGCGAGCGAAGGGCTGGTTCATAAATAACACAATAGGCCTACGACTTTCGTGCGCGAGTGTACCCATGTGCATACACACCCCCTCCATTTTCTTCCAGCGTTCTTTTTACATGGCGCGTACTATACTACATATTGAATAAAACCAATTTGACGGATTATTACCCCATTTAATTTTAACTCTTTTATTTCCCGACATTTGGGGCATCCATGGTCACAGGGGTGGGCGGACTAAGGTATTTGAGGTACTGATGTCATAGTTAACGAAGACTACATTCGTTAATTATTTTCATCGGAGTTACCTAAAGTGAACCGTCATTTAGTAACAAAATATTATTATTTTTTTGTTATTCTTAACAGCAGTACACTTTAAAATTTAAGTTTAAAGCCTCTAAAACATAACATTCTTTTCTTTTAATTCAATACTATCGTAAACGTAATGTATTCCTAATGTTTCTATTCATATTGAGTATGTCTTTAATTGGGATGTATAACCGATTTAAGAATTGTCAATTTTAATTTATTTATAGGAATATTATTTTATTTGTAAAACTGATGTGCCTCAACACAAAATAAAAATACCATCGCTGGTTTAGTTCAAAAAACAAAGGGCAGTTGCTAAAACCTTGGATCTCGCACGGAAAAAATATTTATCTTTCAATATTCTACACACGTAACTTTATGCTTAGAAAAAAATGTTCTACGTTTGCGTGAATGCAATCTATGTAATAAAAATCAAAAACATTCCGTTTCTTTTTTCAAGTAAGTTTGTTTTGTTTCAGAACCTGTACAAATTACACTTACGTTAACAAATCCCTTAAAGATACCATTGCTTCTGAAAGATCTGGAATTGCTGTGGCAATTCATACCAGATACAGAAGAAACCGAAGGTCCCAAGGACATCCTTAACAATGAGCCTTTCTTAGCATCAGGACGTACATTGGAAAGTAACGTCATTTTTAGACAAAAAATAGCCTCATGTCTTTTAGAAGGGGATTGCAACAAAAGATTGACATTTTCATTGACCCCACTACAAGTTGGTCGATTACTTATCAAAGGCTTAGCTTTCAAGTAAGTGATGTTACTTAATATATTAAAAACTGTTAATGGTTCACACAATAATCACCTTACTAAAAAAAACTATATACAGTACTCTGTAGTTTGTTTCTTCCATTAACCATTTGATATGAAGGAAGTAGAAATATTTCTTTCTTAGAATTATTCATCAACGTCTACAAAGTTCACTTTCACTTATCAATAGTTTTTCTAATTTATATAAATTACTTTTTACTATTTACATATAACGTTTTTAAATAAAGTATTTTTTGAACCTAATATTACTATCCTTTTATAACAAAGAAAGATTAAATTAAAGACCTAAACTAACAGATATTATCTTAACGTAAACTATTAGACTATTTTTTCTAAAATTTTTAGATTAATTAACACTGGAGAAGAGGGCAAAGAAAACGGCAACAGTGTTATTATCTCGGGGAAATTAGATTTACTTTCGGATGGCAATGAGTCTGATAAGCGTTTACAAATTATTGTCATTCCACAAGCTCCATGTCTACAGGTAATATATATTTTTATTAATCAATTCGAGACTCGTGCGATTTAAAATTTTTAAAGTCAAATGATTTAAGAATAGAAAACGAAAAAAAATTTCAAAGTTATGTTGAATGCATGCAGCATTAATAAAATTAGAACATTAGTACAACATTTAATGTAATGATCGTACATATGTTTGGAACAAATCCGTGTATATAATTTTATATTTTGCCGGCGTCCCGACATACGGCCCGTGCGTTCTATCTTGGCCTGACTCCTAAGATTGCTTTGGAAAATAGTTTGTTTTGTTTGTATCGATAATAGAATAAATGGAAAATGATCATGATAATGAAAATATGTTTACGTATTTTAATAAAACAATAGTATCTAATAAATAATTACGATAAAAATTTGTATATGTACTAAATACACATTACTAGCGGAGACAACAAATTTCAGTATCCCCAAAATAATATAACTTAAAATTTTTTCTATATTTTTAATTTTTAATGTCTCGTGACTAACTTCAGCCCAGACAAGATAAAGCGCGCGGACTTTACGTGTTGATGTTCATAAAAAAGGAACTGTTATACGAACGATATCTGCGGGCTGACAGAGCGCGATGTTCCGTGGATGTTGCATTATTCAATCGACACGTGTCGGTCGTCAAGCTCATTCACATAATGCCGGTCCGGGCGTTTAGCAGGCGCCCGTGCTTTGCAGTGACAAAACGAAATTTGCTGGGTGTAGCTCAATGTAAACAGTTCTAAACAAATTATTCAGACTAGCACTTCTGGCACGGTAGTGGAAACGAGGCCTAAGATAATCCACTACCCCATATCATTCCGTGGGTGTTCTAAGAGGCGACAGAGGCCGCTTGAAAAGAAATAATAAAAACTACATTTCTCGACCCGCCTGCTATGCGTGGCAATTGTAGCAAATATCCTACGCATGAGGCAATCTATGGGAGAGGCTTTCGTTCACCAAAAGACTGTACGAGTAATAAATTAATAGGTATTATATGCATTATGTATATGTTTTTAATTTTTAATTTAATAATTCATTTAAACTATTGTATGTTTATTTTAATAAAATAAAGTAAAATGCAATTGAATTGAATTGAATGTTATAATTAATGTTAATATTGTTTGTGCATAAAGTATGGAAGGGACTAGCTTCTGACATACAGGATTCCTAGTTCAGGAGCTAGGGGTTAATGGGAATATGTGTATCATTTATTTGAGTTCTAATTAATAAATAAAGTATTATTATTATTAGGGATGAAAAGGATATCTATCCGGTATTCGGCCTATCTGGTCTAAAATTACTATCCGGCCGGATACCGGATTTAAAAAAAAACCACAAAATATTTAATTTAGTTAAGCATTTATGTTACTTAAAAATATAATCAATAATCACAAAATTTTCATTTTAAAACCAACAAAATTAGTAGGTACTCGTACTGAGCTAAGGCACAGAATAAATAATAATACTACGTAGCTAAAGGCAAATTATGGTAAATAAATACTAATTTCCCTGCATTGAAAGGTAACAAGCGGTTTCGCCTGTCTTCATAAACAGGGCCAGCTTCAAAAAAAGTCTTTCGCTCTATACACTGCTGCAGGGTGCTAAAAGATAGATTTTGGCAAACTTTGATAAATTTAGGTATTGTGTAGCACAATACCTGCTCACCAAATATAAGGGTCACGATCGCGTACAGTTTGCACTGACTTTACTTTTCGCTTCTTGCGATGCACCAAACGGCAATCTTCGGCAGAATATCCGGCTATCCGGCGATAAGACTGGCCGAATATCCGGTATCCGGTATCTGGCCAAACAGCTATCCGTTTCATCTCTAATTATTATTATTAAGTGTTATAATGTTTATTATAGATGTAATTAATGTAATACAGAATCACGATAGTTTAATTTAGTTTTTTCAATTCTTTAATATTGTATTACTTCGTAAAATTAATCTACTGATATTTTGTTGTCCTAATTAACAGATGACGTTTTCGGAGACCAGTCCGGAAGCGATCAGCGGCGAAATAAGAATTATAGATGTGGAATTCCGCAACGTGGGGCCCGTGGAGATGAAGAACTTGTACTTAGCAGTATCCCATCCTGATTGCGTCCGTCTCGACATTGATGAGCATAGCGATGATTTCAAATTGCTTTACGACGAAAAATACCGAAAACCGCCTTCCTATTCGGGTAAGTATATCCATTTGTTTTTTTTTTTTCAATAAAGATGATTAAGAACTGTCATTCGAAATTTCTTTTGTATTTTATGAATCGGTATATATCGGTATACACGGTAATAATCGGTAATAAAGATTTATAGCTTCCTGACGTATTACAAAATGTTTACCAAATTCAAGTATAATGTTTTTAAAGAATATTAATTCTAGCTGAAACTAATTATTATTGGCGCGAATTGATACAATACTCTTGCAAAAACAAATTACTTTTTAACGTTAAATACATTTTGGTGAGTTATCATTGATTTTAGGCTATATTCTGCCACATGCGTCATACTTTGAACAGATGCTGCTTGTGGGAGTTAAGTCTGCTCGAAAACTTTCTGTTGTTTTTTAGTTATAACTAGTGATCTGCCCGGCTTCGAATGGGTGATTTCTGGTTCTCGACAACAGCGCCACCTACCGGGTCTAAAAGTGAATATAAACCATCTAGAGACTCATACAAACACACTAAAACTTTCATCAAAATCAGTTAGATGGTTTTAAAGTCTATAACAGACAGATATAACATTTTTGTGTTTTATATAGTAGTTATAATATAAAAATCGGTCTAACTATAAAGCTAGTTTTTACGGATTTTATCGCGTATATTAACTTATTTTATATTTCCGACGTTGTGAGCACTTTATAGCACCCATGGTCACGGGAGGGGACTGAGGGATTCGACGTCCCAATATCATAGTTAACAACGGCTACATCCAGATTAAAATTATTAATTTTTGTTCCGATCTACGCAGTATGAACTTATAGTATCTTGAAGTATTGCAGTTGTATGCTTGGATTGGGATTTAATTTTATTAATTATAGGATCCCAAGCAGATGGTAGCACCCAGCCATCTTCTCTATTGAAATTAGGACGTTTTTTGATTTCTTTTTCATGTCATGGCTATCATCTCATCCCAGGGGTTATTTTCTTTTATGTATTCTTTGATATTATAATAACCCTTTTTATAAAAAAATTCTGTAATAAAACATTTAAACTTGTTTATTGACAAAATTTGTACATTTTCTGGGATTTTGTTGTAAAAGCATATACATTGCCCCATAAATAAATTACTAATTGTCTGGAGTCTAGTGACTGCTATTTATGTTTCTATGTACATACATTACATTTTCATTAATATATTACGATGCCAAAGTTAATATGTTTATTTCTTTAAATTTTTCTCTTAGGGACGCCTTACAATATAAGTTATTAAATCGCCCGCACGGCTCTGTTTTGCAACACAAATATGGCTTCAATATCTGTCGCATTACCCCATAGCAAAATTCCATAAGACATTATGCCATGAAAGTAACTAAAATAAACTAATTTAAATAGCTGTCTGAACATTCGTAAGACTTCTAATCTTTCTTAGAGCATATGCTGCGGAAGAACTAAGTCTGCCTGCTATGGTATTGTAAATTTATTACATTTTGCCTTATAGCCATTTAAGAGCAAATTTTTGGCGTTAAACCAATGTATCTATTAATTTAGTAAAAATTTAAGTAAAGTTAAAGTTTTAGTCAAAATTAATTGATTGCCGTTTGAGTTTGAAAATTAAAGAGGTATCATCATAATGTTATAGTTTCCTGATTAATATCTCATTGAGGGATCAGTTTACCAAATGTCGATGGTTGACAATGAGGTGAAGTTTTGTTACTCAATGTGATTTTACTAAGAAGTTAGTTTTAGATAAACATTTATCAGATTCTAGATTATTATATTAATATACAAAAATTTTAATTTTATTTGTATTTTTAACTTTGCAACTTTTATGAATATCTGTGGTTTGGTTAATTTATTATGAATGTAATTAATATGAAATATAACTAATATTACAGAAATAAATATTAACCTTTTCATTTTTCTCACAAATAACTTCCCCGCTATGAAATCTGTCAAATATAACACCTCATTTTTAAGTGGCACTGCTTTAGTGGCAGTAAAAGTCGTGGATGTCCGCATTAGTGACGTGTTGTTAACAGTAAGTTATTATACTATATAATGTTAAAGACTCGCTGTCCTAGGTCTAATAAAATAGGAAAACTGGACGCCGCCTGTTGCGCCCTCTGTGTCTGTCACTTACGGCAGCAGGCGACGTCCTGTTTCCCCGTTTTGTTGCACCGCGGCACGGTAATTTTATCTATACAGTATTCCAACTTCATACAAACGAACGAAGCGAGAGCTATGCCTACGCGCCTCGATCTCGGCATGCAGACAGTCGTGACTGTGCCGCAGTGATGATTTTGTGGAATATATAAAAAAAATGGGGGGAAATAAATAATAAAATAGAAATAAAGAAATAATAAATCCGAACTTCATTTAAAACCAAACATATAAATTGTAAAATATCTTTTACTTGGTTATAGAATATAGAGATACCTCTATAACCAAGTAAAAGATAGGTATTCCTTTTCTCCACCTTGTCCACGTTTCCCAAAACAATTTTAATTAAGCTTTATATTAGAATGCGGATTTTTTTATACTTAAAATTTATAATAAAGCATTTCGTCCATCTCAGCCGATGCGCAAATATTTTTTGGTCGCAAATTCCTAAGACCGAATTTTTATTAAAACATAAACATGGTTTTTTAATTAAATTTACCAATCAAAAAACGACACGAATTTTTATTGAACACTTCCTATTCAATTCACAAAGTACCTATTATATTTGTTTATATAAAAAAGTATATTTACAATCATAAAACTAAATGGAAACACAAAGTAGGCAAATGTAAAAATGGTGGAGGCAGGCAGCCCTATCGTATGTTTACGTACCGCGCGGCTGTAGGCTTTTATTTCAAAGATACGGCCGAGTTACAATACTGTATAGATAATATTACCGTGACCGCGGACAGCGGCGAGTCTTCAAAAATAATATATAGTCTATTTTTTTAAAGTACTGAGCTGTTTCTCGCACATTTCCGATATTGACAGAGTGAAAATAGGTCATTGTTTTTAGGGGTGGGGCCAACGCCTTTGTTATTGTTTTGAATTTGTAAAGACCGATAATTAAATTATTTTTATATATATAAATAACTTCACGAATAAATAACAATAAAATAATATTGGATATACATAGTATAAATATATTATGTACAAGAACTTATGAATAAAATAACTATTCTTGTACATAATTTAAATAATATTTAATTTATTATAATATTTGTAATCTTAAAAACTATCTTCATCACTTCCTTCTGCTATAACATTCTATTTTCTATATTGTCGACTTCGTACATTTTTGTTTCGATCTTGTTTATAACGACCATTTTTAGGGTTCCGTAGTCAACTAGGAACCCTTATAGTTTCGCCATGTCTGTCTGTCCGTCTGTCCGTCCTCGCTTAATCTCTGTGACCGAAAGCTGAAATTTGGTACCAGTATGTGTATCAATCACGCCAACAAAGTGGTAAAATAAAAATTGGAAAAAAATGTTTTATTAGGGTAGCGTATATTGTTGGAAAGATATTTAAAAATGAATAGGAGTTTACTAAAATCATTTTTTGATATTGTCAATAATTTCGGAAATAATAGCTCCAAAAGTATAAAACAATGTGTCTCCCCCCTCTAACTTTTGAACCATAAGTTTATAAAATATGAAAAAAATCTGAAAAGTAGAACTTTATAAGGACTTTCTAGGAAAATCATTTTGAACTTGATGGAAACTACAGTACCCACTACCGGGAACAGTTGCAGGAGCGCGAACATAATGGATACCCACCTTTGAACTCATAAGTGGGAACACTTATTGTGACGGACGGGAAACTACGGAACCCTACACTGAGCGTGGCCCGACACGCTCTTGGCCGGTTTTTGGCTATCCACTTTAGCTATTCCTTGTAACAAAAAAGTTCGAATTTTATAACACACACATATAATATTATAGCACAAACAATATCGTCTAGTTCACTCACTAAAACGCGTGCAACGCGTAGTTAGTCGCTGAGTCAACTGAGTGCATGTAATAGGCGTTCACACTCTTTACGGAACCGACTCACTGATCTGAATCACTGAAGTGATTCAAAAGATTGGTTCAGTAACAACGTTTCAAATGCATCATTTAGATTTGAAACATTACTTTGGCTCTGTGTTTATTTCGCGCGACGCGTCGCTCGCTAGGCGACTGAGCCGCGAGAGAGAGAGAGAGAGAGAGAGAGAGAGAGAGAGAATGGCGTGTAAGCAAGCGAAGTAATTACAATCTATACAAGTCACAAAAAGATAACAAATGAGAAGTGTATTACTCAACTCGTAGAGATTTCTTGCTATAGTTATTCATGTACGTAAAAGTGACCACTAAGGCGCTTACGTACCGTACTATGCGGTCGTTTTTGCATATAATGTCTGTATTAACAAATTGTCGGTTTACGTTGATCCGGCACTTGTCAAATTGTTTATGTTCGTTCGCGCCTGTTTACGAAAACATACTGAGTTCTGTCACAGTATAAATATGTACTTAAGCTGTGGCTTTGTTTAGGATTTCTTTGCGTAGTGATTATTGTGACTTGCTTTCTTCCTTTTCATCATAAATAATACGCCAGCTGGCTATAAATTAAGGACTAGCCGCCAGTCCTAAGCCTGGATAAAGTTTGAAGGAGGATCGATTTATATACAACCTTATTACGGTACACAATAAATAACAATAAAAATAACTGTAATAAAAATAACCTAAGCACATATCATGCAGCATTGTTGCCACATAACGTTTCACTGAATCAGTCAGTAATAAACGCCCGCGACGCAACTTAATTCGTAACATTTATATCTTTGGAATCGATGATCGAAATGAGCCAAATGAAACATTAGTGTTTCGGAACATTTCAGTGATCGAGATGCAAATGTTTCAATCGCAAAAATGGTACACTTTGCCCACCTCAAGTATGTAAATACTAACGATGGGCGATTATTATTAAAAGTAATAGAATTAGTCGATTGTTAATTTTAGTCGATAAAAGTCTATATTAGACGATTGTTATCGATTAATGTTGTTCGGCGGGCGAAAATGACTGACATGGTTACCGTGTCGACTTTAACCACTAATTTATTCTTTCTCTGAATCTTTTATACATACTACTAAACAAGTAGTTACAAAAGATGGTGCGGCGGTCGTGCGCTGCGCTAAGTGTGTGCGGCCCTTACTTACTTTACGACTGCAGTTATGAGTTATGCGATTTGGCACCAATAAATTATTCAATTCGTTGTCTTGTATTGTAATCAAACCATCAATATAGGGAACATCCATAATAAACAAAACAAAAATAATTCTTACGAACCAGGAATAAATATGAAATCATAAACAATTATTTTCTTACATTTATCTATCAGTCAACTTTATCTTTCTATGCCTATGTAATTAAATATGTCATTGCACAGACGCACACTCGCATGCATTACATACCTAGCGGTGGATTGGTGTGTTCGTACATTTGTTGTTTGTCGATTGTTATTCGAATAATCATGGTGGCGAATTACAAAATCGACAATCGAATGCGGAATAGCATAATTTTCGATTCAGTTGATTGTTTTTTTTTTTACAACAATCGCTAGTTTCTACAGTGTCTGAGTGAAACAGTCAGTTTTAATCAACATAGAGCCCGTTTCAAACAGATTCTATGATCTAAATGATTACGTGGACAAATAATAACGCAGTCAAAATTCGGTACTTGTTTCTTTAAAAAAAAAAAACAGACTATAGACCTCATTGATTGATCGCGGGCAGATGAGCGCGCGGCGCGTGCGGGGGGCGCGCACGGACGCGGTGGCGCGGCACTGCGGGCGAGTGGCGCGCGCGCTGGCGGCGGCGGGCTGCGTGCGTGCGCGCCTGCTGCTGCGGCCGCGGCCGGCGCGTGCGCTGCGCCTGCTCGCCTACTACGAGACTGGCCTGCGCCAGCGCCCGCACCGCCTGCTGCGCCACGAGATGCGTTTCCACACTATGGTCACTACCTTTTTTATAAAAAAAAGAATATTAACAATGCTATAAACATTACTAATATTCTCCTTAACCACTTGTGGTAAACTTAAATTGCTTGTGTTACGAGTGGTTCACGCCAGTAGTCGAATGGTGGATTCGAACCCACGACCTTTTTGAGTTCGCGGTCCGCGCCCTGCCATTAGGCTACTGTCGCTAATTTATTGTTTCATAACTTATAACCAAACACCTATATGTATTTTATAGGATACGGTGTCAAACGAGCACGCAGTCCACCTCATGCTAAGTGGTTGCTGCGGCCTATACACATCTATATCTATCCTCGATTACGAATCATACTGCAGATGCATTGTCACCCCTGAGGACTAAGATGGAATGCCTCTTTTCCTACTATACTACTAGACTACCTATACTACTAGACCGGCACTACTAACTAAATTACGCTCAATTCTCCGTAACTCCTTTAGCCGACTACGAGCGGCCGAGATTTGTCCTTTGATTTGTAAGCCGAGAACGTTGTTTACGACAATCTGAAAAACACTGATATTGTGAGTAATAAAACGCTGTCATAATTTACGTACACGCTTTGTCAACGTATTTGAAATTTATTTCAGATCAATATGTAATGTTATTTTTTATTTGTTTAAAAAAGTATATATCGTAAATAAAAATACACCCGCGTGGCATATTTATCGTGCGAACTATCCGCCCATCCATCGTTATATGAGTCTTGACGACTCAGGAGCTTGCACTCGCCGTAAAGTTTATAGTACCTGAGCAATCAAGCTTCATCCCGTTAAAACCATTTACCTACCACATGCTCGGCGTTATAGGAAAATATCGTAAAATAACATGAATGTTTAAGAAATAAAATATTTCAAGAATGTTAAGTCCGCTAAAACGCATTGTAAACAGCACGATAAACTAGCTGCCCCATCATTCATATTCATATGTTCATAATAGCCCATCATAAGATAGCTTCTAAACATAAACCACTCTCACAGATTGCCTCTGCGTTAACTGTGTTTTTTTATAGAATAGGGTGACAAACGAGCACATAGTCCATCTGATGGTAAGTGGATTCAGTGGCCCATAGACATCTACATTTATCCTCGATTAAGAATCAAAATTCAAATACGTTGTCACCCGTGAGGACTAAAATGGAATGCCTTGTTTCCAGTAAAAAGGGTCTCCGGTTCTCTACACTCACCGTACGGAACACAGCAGCATGGAGCTGCTATTTAACGTTGGTATTCTGTGAGAGCGTGGTCCTATCCTGTTGGAGCCGACCCATTAATGCTACAACTATAATATAGTTGCAGCGTGGTTCTACCACGCAAGAAAACTGCGTAACGCAAACGTGTCGTATTGTAGATATTTTATGCAGCCACAAATATAAGCATCTGGTGCCATTATAATAATAATAATAATATATTATATTATTTATGATAATAAAGCCTTTATTTTCCGAAATATTTTACATTATTACACTAAGTTAAAGTATAACTAAACTAAAAAAAAAAAGAATTTAAAAAGAAAGTATAGCATTATATAAACAAAACTACACTTATATTACAAAATGTCCCTTATTTCGGTGTGTCTTTTGACAAAGGTCTCCTCCAACTCTTTTCACTGTTTTCTGTCTGCCGCCACTCTTATCCTAAGGTCCTAAGGTCAATTTTAAATCATCCTCCCATCTTCTTGCTTTACGACCTCGGCTCCTAGTGCTGTCCCTTGGGTACCAAATTGTCAAATGTTTGCTCCACTTTTCCTTTTTGCAGCGAGCATATCTCCAGTCCATCTCCATTTAAGTTGATCAATACGTGACAGTATATGTTAATTTCGTTTTGCGCCTAATGTATATACTACTCACTTTGTCCATTAGTTTCAATCCTAACATGCTTCTTTCTATGCTTCTCTGACATCTTACTAGTTTGTCCCTTTGGTGTTGCCATTGTTATTAATCGACTTCAGAAAAGAAGGAAGTTCTCAAACCGACTTTATGGTTTTTCTATGTTTGTTATGGTCATTTGTTAACCGATGTAGAGCGCTTTTAATGTGTTGATATTCTAGTTTATTACCTTGAGCGTGTCATATTCCTTAATTCACATAAAAGAATCAAAGAGGATAGAGATCGAGGAGGATAAAGATGTCAAAAAAATTAAACTTTTAATGAAAAGTTAAAGCCGACTGACAAGAGCTAAAAGGAATAACTAATCAACACGTAAAACATCACTGCTGGAGCTCTGGAACCGTTTTGAAATATGTGTGAAATATGTTTGTCTTTTTTATTGCAAAATATTGTAACAATACATTTCCCGAAATCATTAAAAATGCCGATTATGTTTATACAAATGGGTTGTTGGTAGATCGTTTGCTTTACAGTCCCTTTTCGAAGTAGTGTTCGGTACCGTTTTTACGAAATAATTGTTTACCGGGTCGCTGGCGTGAACTTCTATATCCAATGAAAAATTTTGAACATTCTAATCAATCTGGTTCATTCAGACATACATTTTATTTCAATTCAAAAATTCGCGAACAATTGCGAATAACAATAGGTCAAACACATTTTAACTTGATATTTATTGTATAGACAAAAACCGATTTCGTATATATCGTTGTTAATGCTATAAGAATGCTACTTGAAACTGACCGTCTTTAAAATATACCCCACCTAGTTAATCTTTAGTTCACCATGCAGTGAATACATTTTATAATTATGATGTTTATGATTGAGATTTTTGTAAACTATAATTCAATTTGAAATTAAAAAATAGTCAAACGTTTTGGGTGTGTTGCAGGAGGCAGTTGAAATACAAGTAACACCAAGAAGAAGCTTGACCAAAGCTGGTGGGGAAGTCTTAGAAAACATGAGTATCGCGGTCGAGGTTAAAAATGTTTGTAAAGAGAAAGACGAGGATATTTCCATAGAAGTATTAGAGGTTTCTCTGCTTAGTCAACAATGGAAGTTAACTAACGCAATTGCAGCCCCTAATGTAGAGGCCGCTTTGATTCCACGCGAAAGAATTCATTACGTTTTTAAAGCTAAAAGAATTCTTGAAGAAAGTAACAAAAACAAATTAGAATATTCGTACATTAAAGTTGGGAAAAGACACGCTGAAAGCGTCGACGATGTTATTTCCCCGCCATATTCTAAATTCCTGGTCGATTCCCTGCCTTCTGTTGATGATATCACCGAAACAAATTATTCAGTACCAGCGAAAAAGAGAGATGGGTTGATACAGTCAATGCTTGTTTTGAGATGGAAGGCTTATGATAAAGTGAAAAATAGAACCGCTATTGGGCAACACTGTTTATGGATGGATTGCTTCACTAAAGCGTTGTACCGTGAAATAGATTCGTCGCCAGTTTTACCCGCGATACAACTGGAAGAAAGTGAAAGTAAAACTAACATTAATGACATAGAAGAAAAGAGCTACACAAGTGATGTCGTTATTTTCAGATTAGAGCATTCCAATTATGTCAATCATAACTTTACTTTGAGAAAATTGTGTTTGATACCTATTGTTATAAATATAGTCAACTGTTATGGAGTGCCGGTCACGGTATTTATTGATATGAGTAAGCAACAAAATAGGTAAGTTATATCGGGTATTCTACTAATTTACTTATTCTTTGAAACGGAAACAGAAGCAGAAACTTTTTTATTCAATGTAGATTATAAACGATACTTATTGTTACGCGCTCCAATGCCTCAAATCGGCGCACTAGCGCCATCTAGTCTCGAACCGAAGAACTAAACTTCTTGAAGTTTAAAACTCGAATTCTCGGTACCTTGCGCGTGTTTACTTGAACATTCTGGATATTTTGCTAATTTATATAAGTAGGCGCTGCAAGATGCGATCGAAGTAGTATTGAATTGGCGATACGAGCGAAGCTTCGGAGCGAAATTAAGTGAATTAGTGTGTTTAATTATTAGTGTTTTAAGATTTAATTTGTTTAAAGTAAATTAAAGTGTTAATTTAGGTAATTTTATCGGCAATTTTTATTGTCACGAACCTCAAGCTCGTAACAATTGGTGTCAGAAGTGGGATAAAATCATGCCGATTTTACCTAAGGAGGAAACGGAGGGTGTCCGTACCCGAAGTCAACGCCAGCAGGAGACGGACCAACTAAGATTTGGTGTTGCAACGCCGCAGACGTCGGAGGGCCAGCCACCGGCTGAAGGCCCGTCGGTAGCTCCTACATCTGCAGCACCTGATTTAGGTGCTCTGATGGTGATGCTGCAGGAGCAGGCTCGCCGATAGGAGGAACAGGCTCGCCGACAGGAGGAACAGGCCCGCCGACAGGAGGAACAGGTCCGTCAGTTGAAAGAGCAGCTGCAGAGCGGACAAGAGGAACAGGCCCGCCGACAGGAGGAACAGGCCCGTCGGTTGGAAGATCAGCAGGCGGAACAGGCTCGTCGGTCGGAAGAGCAGATGCTCCTCATGAAGGACCTTCACGCTACCTTTGGGAAAGAGATAAGGGACGTGAAGGATAGGGTTGCTCAACACGACAACCGCCTGTCGGAAGCTGAAACCCGAATCGAAGAACATGAAACCCGAATCAACCATGTGAACAATCGGGTTGACAACGTGATGGCTGACGTGAAGAAAACGCTAAACGACCTCAAACTTGGGGATGGAACTACAGCTCCCGTAGTAGCTGCAGCACCTTCGCTACGTGGATTCAAAGTGCCGCCGTTCGACGGGACCTCTTCCTGGTCGGCCTACAAAATCCAGTTCGAGGCCGTCATGGAGGCGAACGACTGGAATAAAAGCCAAGCCATGACTGCACTCACCCTAGGCCTGCGCGACCAAGCCTTAACTGTGTTGGAAGTTCTCGGTAAGAAAGTGACCTATGAGCAGCTTCTTGAGGCCTTGGAATCGAGATATGGCGACGCTCATCTGGAACACGTCTTTCGCGCGCAGCTTAAAGATCGCGTGTAGCGCAGCAACGAGAACCTGCAGCAGTGGGCCCTTGAGGTGGAGAAGATGGTTCGAAAAGCATACCAGTCTGTACCTGCGCTCATTGAAGGGAACCTGGTTCAGACATTCATCGACGGCATCCGCGACCTTGAAGTCAGAGCTGCTGTGAGACTCGGGCACCACGACACGCTTAAGAACGCCTTGGCCCATGCACTGGAGGTGGAAGCCGTGCGGCAGGATCATCGTTCCCATCGCATCAGGGAGGTTGCAGCAGCTACAGTTCGCGACCGCAACAGAGGATACAGCCCTAGGTGCTATGGCTGTGGGGAAAAGGGCCATCTTCGATCCAGCTGCCCTAAGCGAACCCTAGAAAGGGAAGGTGAACGATCTCAGGAGGGTAGTGCGGCCAACAGCACCGCCCTGCAGCAGCAGGGAAACGAGTAAAAGCCAGAACTGCGGGGCGGGTGCTGGCTGATGTTAAAAGAGCCCCAAGGATCTCGATCTCACAAACCCATGATGGGAACAGTCTAATCATCAAGGGCGAGGTCAACGGAATGCCGTGTAAACTGACCATAGACACTGGAGCCTCTCGTACGGTTGTTAGTTCCCAACTTATAAGTCAGTTTCTTGGGGACTCCGCATACAACCGAGAACGCATTAATTTGGTAACAGCTACCGGTCAGCGTATACCCGTCCGTGGAGAGAAGGAGATGGAGTTGAAGCTAGGCAACGTGATCTACCTGCATAATGTCATCGTGGCTGATATAATGGACGACTGCATCCTAGGCCTAGACTTTATATGAGGAATAATTGTTGTGAGATCGACGTTAAGCAAGGTGTTTTGAAATGTGGACAGGAGGAACTTTTTATGGAAGGTGCGTTACCAGGGAACGTGTACAACATTAAGAAGACTGTTCTTCTGCCGAGATCGGAAACGATTGTTCCGGTTAGTCTTCCTCGAAACGCTGGGCAAGCTCACCGTTGTGTACTTGTGGAAAGGGTAAACAATGACCTTCCATGGAAAGTAGCTCGAACCTTGGTTAGGACCACTGACATCTCAGGAGTACGTGTGCTGAACCTTTGCGACCGGGAACAGATTATAGAAAAAGGCACACTGATTGGTACTTGTGAGGAAGTGGATTGGTTACGTCGGTGCCAATATATATCGAGTGGGACCCCCAGCAAGGATGCAGAAACGAGAGTGACCACACTTTTGGAAGACTGTCGCAGTGTTCTCTCCTCGAACGAATTGGTCAAGGCGAAGAAGTTGTTACTCAAGTACGCCGATGTATTCTCAACAAACGATGCTGACATAGGAAAGACTGGCTTAGTTCAACACAAAATAAACACAGGAGAAGAATTGCCTATCCGTCAGAGGCCAAGAAGATTGCCGGTAGCACGTGAAAAGGAAGTGGAAACCATGATTGAGGGAATGGTGAAGGATGGTGTTATTGAACCTTCATCTAGTCCATGGTGTTCACCAGTGGTGCTGGTGAAGAAGAAGGATGGCAGCATGCGGTTTTGTGTTGACTACCGCCGTCTGAACGACGTTACGAAGAAGGACAGCTATCCCTTGCCAAGAATTAATGACACGCTGGACATGCTTACAGGAGTAAAGTGGTTTAGCACGCTGGATCTAAAAAGTGGCTACTGGCAAGTTGAAATTGACCCTAAGGACAAGGAGAAAACTGCGTTTTCGACGGGAAAGGGTCTGTGGCAATTTAAAGTAATGCCGTTTGGGTTGTGCAATGCTCCAGCAACGTTTGAAAGGCTGATGGAACTTGTACTTACCGGGCTAATTGGCGATGCCTGTCTGGTCTACTTGGATGACATTATCATCATAGGCCGTACGTTTGAGGAACACCTTCAAAACCTGGAACGCGTGCTCATGAAGATTCAGAGTGCCAACCTCAAGTTGAGCCCGAAGAAATGTTCACTATTCCAACGGCAAGTTAACTTTTTGGGGTTTGTAGTATCGGAAGAAGGTATCCGCACAGATCCAGAGAAAATCGCCGCTGTCAAGGATTGGCCGGTTCCAAAAGACAAGACGCAGGTTAGAGCATTTTTGGGTTTGTGCTCCTATTACCGGCGATTTGTGAAGAACTTTGCAGATATAGCCAAACCTCTGCACAAGCTAACCGAGGAGAAGCGACATTTCTGCTGGGATGAAAGTTGCAATATCGCATTCCAGGAGCTCAAGGACCGTCTGTGCAAAACACCTATTTTGGGATACCCTGATGCCAGCAAAGAATTTATAGTTGACACAGACGCAAGTGATATAGGACTTGGCGGTGTGTTGTCTCAACGGAATGGTGACCAAGAGGTCGTGATAGCGTACTTCAGCAAGTCGTTGTCAAAACCGGAAAGGAACTACTGTGTCACAAGACGCGAATTGCTAGCTGTGGTAAAGTCACGGTAATATTATCTATACAGTATTGTAACTCGGCCGTATCTTTGAAATAAATACCTACAGCCGCGCGGTACGTAAACATGCGATAGGGCTGCCCATTGAGTTATACAATACTAAATCAATGGGGCTGTCTGCTTCCAGGATTTTTACATTTGCCTACTTTGTGTTTCCATTTAGTTTTATGATTGTAGATATACTTTATTATATAAACAGTTATACTAGGTACTTTGTGAATAGAAATGGAAGTGTTCAATAATAATGCGGGTCGTTTTTTGATTGGTAGATTTAATTAAAAAACGACGTTTATGTTTGAATAACAAATCGGTCTTATGAATTTGCGACCGAAAAATATTTGCGCCTCGGCTGAGACGTACGAAATGCTTTATTATTAAATTTTTAAGTATAAAAAATCCGCACTCTAATATAAAGCCTAATTAAAATTGTTTTGGGACATGGAACATGGACAAGGTGGAGAAAAAAATATCTTTTACTTGGTTATTGAGGTATCTATATTTTATAACCAAGTAAAAAATATTTTACAATTTATATGTTTTTTTTAAATGAAGGTCGGATTTATTATTTATTTATTTCTCCTCTATTATTTATTTCCTCCTTTTTTATATATTCAACAAAATCATCACTGCGGCACAGTCACGATTGTCTGCATGCCGAGCGCATGCCGAGATCGAGGCGCGTAGGTATAGCCCTCGCTTCGTCCGCTTGTATGAAGTTGGAATACTGTATAGATAAAATTACCGTGGTAAAGTCGTTGCAGCATTTTAGCAAATATCTTCTGGGGCGAAAATTTCACTTACGAACTGACCATGCTGCACTAAAATGGCTATTGCAGTTTAAAAATCCAGAAGGACAAGTTGCGAGGTGGATTGAACTACTGCAGGAATACGACTTCGAGATCGAACATCGCAACGGGAAATCTCATGGCAACGCAGATGCATTGTCAAGAAGACCTTGTCCTGAAGATTGCAAACATTGTACTAGACAAGAGAGTAAGGAAGTGGTATCCGTGAGGATGCTCAGGGCAGACCACCTCAGCAACGAGTGGAAGGACAGCTTACAACGTGCACAGCAGGAAGATCCGGACATCAAGCCGATCCTGGAATGGATGAAGGCCAGTGCTCCCAAGCCCAAGTGGAGCGACGTCTCAGCGATGAGTTCGACCACTAAAAGCTATTGGGCCCAGTGGGACAGCTTGCTGCTTCAGGATGGAGTTCTGTGCCGTAAATGGGAAAATGTTCGGGGAGACAGCTGTCATTTACAAATGGTTGTCCCTAAAGCTAAAGTACCGGATGTTCTACAGCTGTACCATAATGATTATTCAGGAGGCCATCTGGGAGTTAAACGAACTCTACTGAAGATCCGAGAACGGTTTTACTGGGTCCACTGTCGAAACGATGTTGAGGACTGGTGTCGCAAATGTACAAGTTGTGCGGCTGTAAAGGGACCTCAGACTCGTAGTAGAGGTGCATTGAAGTTGTACAATGTTGGTGCACCATGGGAGAGAATAGCCATTGACGTGGCGGGGCCGTTTCCGGAGAGTGAAAGCGGTAACAGGTATTTCATGGTTGTGATGGATTACTTCACTAAGTGGCCAGAAGTCTTCGCCATTCCAAATCAAGAAGCTTCAACAGTTGCTGATAAGCTAGTTCAAGAAGTCTTCTGTCGTTTTGGTGTACCTTTAGAGATTCACAGCGATCAAGGAAGGAATTTTGAGTCTCAAATATTCCAGGAAACTTGCCGAGTTATGGGTACTCATAAAACAAGAACGACTTCTTATCACCCGCAATCTGATGGAATGGTAGAACGATTTAATCAGACATTGGAGAGGTACCTAGCAAAAGTTGTAGACAATCGGCAACGAGATTGGGACAAGCACATACAACCGTTTTTGTTGTCATATCGAAGCGCTGTTCACGAAAGTACAGCAGTGACACCAGCTTTCGCAAACTTTGGAAGAGAATTACGGCTGCCTGCAGACCTGATCACCGGGATACCACCTGATGCTCCACGCAGTATAACCGATTATGCAAATGACTTGCGGAACAAAATGAATGACGTTTATGAGCACGTCAGACAATCGGGCCAGCAAATGTCTGAAAAGATGAAAACCCGGTATGACCGCAAAATGAACAACAAAGGGTTCGACGAAGGTTCACTTGTGTAGTTGCACAATCCAGTCCGCAGCAAAGGGAAATCTCCTAAGCTTCAGGCTAAATGGGACGGCCCGTACCGGATTGTGACCAGGATCAACGATGTAACCTACCGGATACAGAAAGGCGCAAGAGGGACTCCTAAGATCGTCCATGTGGATCGCCTAGCGCGTTATTATGGGACCGATAATGCTCGGGACGAGCATGTCTTAGGAGGGGGCAGTGTTACGCGCTCCAATGCCTCAAATCGGCGCACTAGCGCCATCTAGTCTCGAACCGAAGAACTAAACTTCTTGAAGTTTAAAACTCGAATTCTCGGTACCTTGCGCGTGTTTACTTGAACATTCTGGATATTTTGCTAATTTATATAAGTAGGCGCTGCAAGATGCGATCGAAGTAGTATTGAATTGGCGATACGAGCGAAGCTTCGGAGCGAAATTAAGTGAATTAGTGTGTTTAATTATTAGTGTTTTAAGATTTAATTTGTTTAAAGTAAATTAAAGTGTTAATTTAGGTAATTTTATCGGCAATTTTTATTGTCACGAACCTCAAGCTCGTAACATTATTGAAAGTCACTTTTCATTTACCACTGGTTCGCAAAAAAAAACCTTGTTCTGGGAACCAGCAAGAAATCTAGCGGGACTAATTTTTTTTTCAAATAATAGCTTACACTTACTTACTTGAAATAGCTTGGTAGCGATCACTCTTCCCAGGGGTTATTATCATCCATGAATTCCTTAATATTATAATAACCCATTTTATACAAACTTATTGTATATCTGTATACTATTTTACATTATGTGTCAATTCCAGAGAAACGACGGGTGAATTGGGTTGGGCGGGAGCACTAAGCACAGGCATTGAACCAGATTCCAGGGAAATAGGAGTGAATGTGACGCTAGAAAAATTTGAATCACGTCGTGTACAAGTGCGAGCGCTCTGCGCCGCCCCCGGCACTTACGTAGTGGGTTCCGCCTTCACTCTCACTACCGTGTGGGGTGTGAACAACCGAGCCAGCACACACTTTTCCAACAACGCTTCTCTTCTAGTCGTTAGACAAGTCTAGGACATAACATATATATTTATAAATGATAGACCTTAATATTATACGCTTTCATTATTATAAGGATTGTTTTTTTTTATTTTTGTTTCATACATATTAGAGCCCATTTGGAATATGGATTACTAAGCTCACTAGTGTCAAGTAAACGTACAGAAAGTGATAGGAAAAACGATGAGCAGAAAAACAACAAACATTAATAAATTTTATTGTAATAAATAAAATATTAACGTCTGCGTTTAACTATATTTTAACATAAGGCGCTCTTTTAAAACTTGTTTATTGAAAAATGTTAATTAATTATTGTGATTTTCAAGTGCAAAATATAGTTCGTAAATATTAAGTATTTAATTTAAATGCACTCATCTTTCTCCTTTTATTAAATTTCCTTTAATTTAAATGCACTCCTCTCAGCCTTGCATATTTTACTAAAATATAGAGATTTGTATATTCATGGGTCTTTTAATTAATTAGTTTATTTATTATTTAATTATACATATCCTTGTTCCTTGTAACCTGTCGAACATTAGCATTTATAGACTGTAGGCAATGTAGAAATATGTCTACAAAGTGCTTACGATGGGTACTGGACGTTTAATTTAAAAAAAAAACACCGTGCTATAAGGAAGTAATTTCATTGGAACCGACATTCAGATAAATAGATGTACGCGGTACCATCCATTCCATCTGGATGACTGGCCGTCAACCCCTGTGCGATTTAAGAGAAGTTTCCTTTCCTCGCACAACTTCCTTGTGGAATCAACTACCACCAGAGATTTTTTTGGACCGATACGACTTAGGGTCCTTCAAGAAAAGAGCCTATTCCTTTTTAAAAGGCCGGCAACGCATCTGCAATCCCCCTGGTGTTGCAGTTGTTCATGGGCGGCGGTAATCACCTACCATCAGGTGAGCCGTGTGCTCGTTTGTCCCCTCTCCTATAAAAAATGTGCTGATCTTGCACTAACCTTTTGAGCGCCAAAGTCGTCTATACGTGACCAGCACCCGCGGGCCCTGAGCGCCAACGACGTCTATAGTTGACAAAAAACCCGGCCCACAAAAAATATGAAATATAGACATTGGAAAATTATTACTGGTATTTTAATTCTACACCCCTCAAAAAAGAATAACCCAGCAACATGAGAGTATAAAAAACAAGTCTCCTAGAGCCACAAGTACTCAGAAACATTGAACTAAAAAAATGGATTTTTATCAAGGCAAATACTATGTCCAGCACGCCAAAGTCGTCTATGTTTGACCGCTAGTGTTGTAATGCGTTGGGCATAAATTTGTTGAAAACTATTCAAAATTAAGCTCAAACGTGTTTTTTTTTTTCTATTATTATTGATATTCAAATAAAACAAAAGGTTAGAAAAATAAAAATATAATTAGCTACATGAATAAAAAAAAATTATCAAATTATCTTCGCTTAATAAATCTGATATCTCAACTCTGGCGCATCCTTAGCGCGACATCGAAAATCAGTTCACTGGGCGCCGTGGTCAAGTATAGACGACACGCTGATGACGTCATAAGCGATTAGCGGGAAAATTAGTGCAGTGCAACATGAACGATTCCTCAGAACTCATTCGGATTTTGGAAAGCGTCGACGATGATGAATTTTCGGAATCTGAATCATTACCTGAAGATTTAAGTGAGGTAAGTGTCTTAAGTTCCTAATAAATTAAACTTATTTTACTAACATGCATATTGCCTATTTTATGTATCTATTATTTTATAATATTTTATTTAATTTTAAATATAATAAGTTCGATACAAAATGAAACTGTTTCCCGGGCGACTCTTGTGAGCACATTTTTTATGTTTTTGTTTTCGAGTTTAGAATAACTCATCAAGTTCGTTTACTTTTATACTGCAACTAGAAGATATTTTTTTCTGTTAAAAAGCGAATGGTAATATTGTTTAGCGAAATAAATATCTTAAACCATATTTCACTATAATCCTTCCGAAAAGTAGGTACCGTGAGTAGACCATAAATCATAAATCAACCTAATGAAAAAGCATTAAGGTCCAAAATAGTATATCGATTTTCTACCTTTTGGCATTACAATCGTTTCGAATAGTATTGTGAGTAGACTAAAAATCAATGTAATGGTAAAACATTAAGATCTAAAATAGCGTGTCGACTTAGTACTAAATTGCTCTTTTGTACTCGGCGGCGACGTTCTTTTTTTGTTACTAACACTTTCGCGTCTTACAGTAATCAAAGGCTTTCTCACACATACAATCTACAATGATAATAATTACATACATTTCTCTTCATGACAAGTTTTCTCGTGAATTGTATTTTTTTTTAATCAAAATATTGTATTTTTACAGAGACATGTTATGACTGGGGTCTTCATCAATTGGACACTTTAGTTGAGAGAGTCGAGTAAGACGCCACAAGATTAAATAAAACATACCTGATTATAAAGAGTCATTTATTGTATAAAAAACCAACAAAAACCAGTTATTTTGTGTTATCGATATATCAACTCTTGGCAGCACTGTTTTTTCGTAGGTATTTTTGTTTACTTTTGGCTTTGGCGTACAGGACACGGTAGTGAGTTTTTGGCGTGGCGCTCAAAAGGCTAATAGGCAGTAACTGGTACTGGGAGGTCTACTTACACTTTTCGTTTTAAGGCATTGACATTATACGTGAAAAACCACCACCAATCAATGGCTTTACGTGCTTTCCAAAGCGCGGGGGTGAGACCGCTAACTTCCTGACTCCGTGCAGCTACTGAGAATTCCTTGACGGAAAAACTCAATAAATGGATTTTTTTTGTCCACCTTGCGAAAGGCTTATTCTAAGAAATGTACCGAACGCCGCTAATATGTGTACGTGCCTGTCACGTGACAGTACGGACTTATATACACGAGTCACAGCACGTACATAACTACCCTTGCTAAGTCGGGAAGATCGGGTCGAGTCGGAAACGCCCACCGCCGCGCTACGCAATCACCTTTGTTTGAGACTGTTGACTTTTAATAAAATTTTGCTAGCAGTCTTTTTTTGGTTTATTTTCTCTTTTTATAAAATAAATTAATATATGCGTTTGTTTAAGTAAATTAGCTTTATATTAATAGTTTATGTTACTATATCTTTACATAGATACATACCTTATAAGTACATTAATTACCATATCACATCAGATCAAATTACTTTTAATTTTAAACATTAAATCTGAGCTGACACTATATACTCAATGTTAATTTACTCTTATTTTAGTTATTTGGTATTTGTTGTAATGTAAAGCTGGATTTTTTTTTTGACAAACATTGATTCTTCTAGATTTTTTTTCGTACGTATCCGTATTTATTAGTTGAATAATAACTACTTATAAAACTAAATGAGACTTAGCTGTTAAACAAAAAAGACAGTGGCAACCCTGCAGCAGTAGGCATTTAAGTCTCGCACGGCGCGGCAGGTATCCTACTATTATATTTTTACTATACCCGGGGTTCGAACCCAGGACTTCATGATCAGCTGTCACACTACTACAACCACTGCTCTAGTGGTTGTAGTAGTGTGTCAGAGATGCAGCCTTTTGAGTTGAAAGGAAACTGAGCTTAATAGGTCCGTCAGAGGTGCAGCATTTGGAATTGAAAAGAAACTGAGCTAAATACGAAATTTTGAATCGAAAGGGAAGATCTGTGGGAATTCTGGTTAATAGATTGTGGGAATTTTGGAAAAAAAAACTAACTGAACACTATTTTAATTGTGCTTATGTGAGGGCACACCTGACAACTCTAGAGAATTTAGAAACTCTACGGGATATGAAGCGCTCTGTTCTGTGTCCCTTTACATCGGTATTGCTGCGCAAGTCCTGGAGCGTCGATTTAGTGCTTCTAAAGCTTTTTTATGCGACATTGTACTTTCGTCCCACACTAAAAGTTTGCATTGTCGTAGCATTATACCTCGTGCACTATTTTTGCTAAAGTTGCAGATCGGTGATTCTTCCTGGGCTAGATTTAGAGGGGAGTTTTAAAACAGAATGTGCAGTGCGGCCCCCGCTTAGCAGCGTGGCGGCTATACCGGAGGAAGCTACGGCCACAGCAATGTTTTTATCTTTCCGTACTTGCGCTAATAATAAATTTAACAAAAATGTCTTCCCAGTTCCTCCAGGGGCATCTAAAAAGAAAAGTGCACCATTTCCAGATTCAATTTGTCCTTATACTTTGTCAAAAACTCGTTTTTGTTCGGGAAGCAAGCGGGGTACAAATTCGGCTACTTGCTGCTGCAAAGCTGGTATATCGTAGTTTGTTTCACGTATAATTTCATCACTTAGTTCATTTTCGGTTGTTCGCTGAGGGCTTATCATTTCAAAGTCGCTTAAGTTTTTGCCTAGCATTGCCATTACTTTATTTTCAATTTTTCCAAGTGCTTCATTATAAATGTGTTCATTGTATGTAATGTTCGCGTGTGTCTGCTGTAACCTTCGCAAAATATCTTCCGCCATGTACTCTTTATATTTGTCCCACAATTCATGTGCATTAGATAGCCCGCAAGATGATATGAGAGTTGCATAAAGATCCCTAATTTTGGCTGGTGACTGGCATTGCACAGCTTCCTCCATGGTTTCATCCCAGTGATTATCGTTTTCTAAAAGATGCAGAGCTTCACATGCTTCTCTATAAATTACGCATTCCTGACCGTTGACAGTTTTAAGGTCTTTATATCCTGTAGGACCCCAAACATGGTGCAGCAGCAATCGTAAACAGAAACATTCAAAATTAGTTACATGGACGGTATACACATGACCAAGGGCATCTGATGACTTTACACCGGGCCAATTTGCAACAGGCGCGCCTTGAATACGTTTTCACTCCTTCCAAGATGTGTTCCAATTATAATAGCGGGGGACTTCAGAATATAACAACGTTTATGCAAAGGGGTCGGTTTGACAAAGTTGAAAGAAGGCTGTTAGTGTAGTTTTTGGCGGTGATGCGATTCTTTCTTGGAAATTTCTTTCGGTGAAATATACACGCTCTCCATTTTCTAA